CGAAATCTGGGGCGAAGGCTATCTCTCGCACAAACCTGCCAGCCGCAAGCAGAGCCATGCCAGGACAAGGCAAAATCTGCAGGGCTTAATGATCGCAACTCTTCTTGCACTCTCTTCCGCATTCCGCCTTTTTATGGGACTTGCATCGCCTCACGAAGTTCTAGACGGCTTCTTCTCGCAACTATTCACTGGCTGGCGAAGGCCAACACAGCTCCATCTTCAGGGGAGAGCGATTTGTCACCACACACCCCAAAACCCTAAACTGACTTGTGGACGGCGGCGGATAGTGAGCACTCCTTGCCAAAGAAGAACTGTTTGAATGATGATGCATGCTCCTCTAACCAAATGCACTCAACAAGTAACACTCATGGCAGATTGGTTGAATGAACTGACTTTCCGGCACATCAGCGATTAGGTTATCCAGGATGGCTGCAACTGATGCGGAAGTCAGGCTCCGGCTGAAGCAACATGGAATCGGGACACACCTTCTGCACGACACATCCATGCTCAGAATCTGGCACCTGGTCAAGCTGGTATTGTTTGGTAACCTCTCTGGATGTGTCAACGTGGAAAGGCTTTGCCACAGGCTCCTCTAACGAAGCTAAAACAAATAACCTGTTGCTGACATGTACTTGGACTCATAACATCTGCAGAGCGAAAGTGCCCTGATCGATCATCGGCCTGCTTCCTGCACACAATACGGAAGGCTACATCGGGCCAGCCCCAGACCCCTCTTTGAAGTCTTCTTTTATGGCTTTCCAAACGCTGGGTGGACTGGACATTAGTTGAAGAAGGCCGATCTTTGTGTTGGAAGACCTTCGCAACCGCACCTCAATCGAAACGTCATAGTATCGTCCACTCCCAAAGCCGCTCAGCATGGCAACTACAGGACGGTTCTGAGGAGAAAGTCGCTGCCTGAACTACTTATTATAACAAACTCATCTGAGAATCGGCCGGCACCACGCCTTAGACTCTGCGATTCTACATGTTCGAACTGCTTGCTGATTAGGGAAAGGAACAAAATTACAGCAGTTTGCACCCCGAAGTCAAACGACCTGCCCGCTGCTGAGCCCACGGAGCCAACGCTCCAAATGAGAAGTCTATTAAAGTACTACAGGACCTTTGCATGCGTGCAAGTCCGCTTCCCCTCGTCCCCTTGCAGCCTCCTTCCATCCCTCCACCAACCATCCAACAACAACCAACCATCGAACAAGAGAAAACAGACAGATAGAGGAGACTGAGCCTGCTTGCCAAGACTGTCACTGTGTAAGGACATCTCCAACAGTTTTGGGTACGCGTAGCAACCCACCAGCCCAGTCTCAAGGACAGACAACACAATCTAAGAACGGTCGGGCCCTGTTCCGCAGTTTACAACAGCAGCTAAACCTCTGCCACGGCTGCATGATGGGCCTGCACACATCACATCGGGCAAGTAGTGGCAACTCGACTATGTGACTCCATTCCCCTGGACCGGTTGTAGCCCGCACTGTGAACAAAAAGCTGCCAGCAGACCTAGTAACCTAGTGCGCTGCTTCGCTCTGAAGCTTAAAGATCCTATCTACAAGTCCACTTGCAGGTCGCCATGCTGAAAAGCATTGCTCCGCTTGAAGGGTGAAAGACATTCGGAGCCGGAGGCAGTGCTGTGCACGGAACAACTCAGTCTGAGGGCGCATGTGCCAGAGGTGCGACAGGATGTCCGGAAGCTCAAGGCTCCGGGAGCTCGCACGGAGATGTGAAACGGTTCTCGACTTCCAGGCTTGACTGATAAGAGTTTGGATGTCAGAGCACTCTCCGTGTGAGTGGAGGGATATGCTGAGAAACCCTCCGGGCACTCTGCGGACATCGACCCCCAGATCGGCTCTCCAGCCCCTAAGCTACACATACAGAGGTGGCTGGGGCGCTAGATAAAAGGTGCGATATAGCCGTCGTACCCATCTTCATGGGATTCCGTCACGGCCATCCGTCACTAGAGGACTACAGATTCATTGCTCGGTTCAGCTGATCCTGCCAGTGTGACGGCAAGTGTGAGAAAGCCAGACACACATGCGAACATGTAGCGAACTACAAGGATCCAGCATCCCCCAAAATTTCCGATCGACGCAAGAGAGCCTTCCTTCTTAACTTGGCGCTCCTCTCGAAGGTTGCCAAAGTTGGACAGTTGCGATGGCAGCCCATTCATCGGACCTGGAAGCTCCGAAGCATGGGACCAGTATCGGACCACAAGGGCCGGTAGCATCTCAGGCCCAGGCCCGCACCGAGATGGCCCGGTGGGGGGGGCCAGTTGGACATGGAGCCGCCTGCCAGCTCGATCACTCGCGTCACCCTGGAAGGGGCTACAGCGGGCCTCCCTTCCCGCCCATCAAGCCGCTGCCCGGGGCGCCCTTGCCGAGGCCCCCAGGCCCGCATGGGCCTGGGACTCAGACAGATTCCGAACTGAGACCTCATCCGCTCTGAGCCGCTGGCCCCCGAGGCCTCCCTGGAGCATAGCAACCTGGCTATGCCACTATGGGGCTGTGCTGCGGTGGTCTTGAGCATTGCCCTGTCAACCCCAATGTCACCTCAAGAAGCCGACAAAAAAGGCTTTCAGAGACGCCCCGTTACGTGCCTGCTGCTGCCACTGCAACTGTGCTGCCTGGGAAGCTGAGCGAACGTCATGCTTCAGACAGCGACAGGGCAGAAACAAGCGGATTTTGCACGAATGGCCCGAGGTAACCCTTGGGGGCCCCAGGCCAGGTCCATCGGCTTCTGAAACTGAGAATGCAGCAGCTTGCTGAGATGCCCCAAACCTCACATCGCTCATGCTCGGGGACGCGGGGCTTAGCCCTCACTTGCTAAGGTTGCGGCTGAAGTCCCTGAGCAGCTTGCTGGCGGACCTTGATAGCACCAGCTGTCGGTGCTGGAGTGTTGCCCTCCCATTCTATTCAATAGCCACTTAGCCTGCAAGTAGGACAGCAGTTCCTGCTGCGACTGCTCCTGACGTGATGCAACCAGAAATCTCCGGCTTCCATGGCACAGCAAGTCGCAGCACTCTGCAGAGTCCTCTGCCCCCAGCCAGTTCTGCACCCCTCCGCCACCACCCTGTCAGCGCCGCTCAACTAAGATGTTTTTGAACTCGCATGCTTGACACTCAGGCTTTGCCTGAAGCAAGGATGGGCCGAGCCCAGGCGGGGCTCCGTCCAGTGCTGACCACTGGCTGTGACCTTGGCCGCGGTGTAAAGGCACAAGCCGGCGCAAGGCTTGACATCAACACAGAGACTTTCATCTAGAATCTAGCCTTAAGTTGCTGCCAAGGCAGAGACCACTGAGTCCGGCGTATCCTCCTTTGCCGAGCAGCTGACCTGAGCAGTTGGGGAAATCGCCAACTGCCCGCCACTGGCACTTCGTCTGCGTTTCATGCTTTACCCCGTTCCTCGCATGACCCACTATCCGTTTTATCTCGAACCTAGTCAGAGTCAGCCCTCACCATATGCAACAAAGAGATCCCGGCATCCGTGAGACATCTCTGCTCTCTCGAAAGCGGGGCCCCGGACTCTGCTGCAAACCGCTTGCCTGGGGGCTGCAGACACCGTTCGCAGAATCCAACTGGAATGCGCTGGCTCCTGTCTGCCTCCTACAATACTTCCTAGTAATCACCAGAAGGTAAAGGGGTTCAGTGACAGAGGTTTCAGAGTGCCACGTGGGCCGGAACTATCTAAGCCAAAGCGCAGGGTCATGCAAGTATGCGGGGCTGAGATCGCTGAAGCCGCATCCTCGCCGAAGTCAGCAATGGTGGTGGTATCGCAGTCGGAAGCTGAGCACTTTCATCGTAAAAGCGAAGTCGGCACAGAAACTCTCGACCTGACCGAACCTATGGGCAGTCCTCCGCTTGAAGCTGCGGCCCGTGGGACCTCTGGCAGCTGCAACCGTCAACGCCCTACATCGCCCTCGAAGCGCGTTTGAGCGAGGACTGTGCGCAAAGGGCAAGAGACTGTCCCGTTCTCAAAGAAAAGAGGCCATGTCTGGGTCTCTTCCGCCGAAATTTAAGGCCACTGCCCCTGCACCAGAGCTGGAGGTCGAGGGAGGCTTGGACGGCGCCCCCACCGGCCTGTGCGAGGCGGCATCTGAAGCCGCTTGAGACCCGCTGCAGCCGGTTTGAACGAGGCATGAGCCTAAGCCCTACGCCTTATCAACCGTAACGCTTGGCATTTGCTTCTTCTTCTGAGGTTTCCTGTGGCGACCCTGCGTAAGCAGGAACATCATAAGAAACTGCAGCCCCTTCTCGCTCGTGGCTCTCCAAAGCTTGTCAAGACTACTGCCTAGCAGCGCAACGATCGTCTTGACTTGGCAGCTTGCTTGAGTCAGTTTTCGGCGGGCTGGGCAACTCGTGGGTCTTGCAGATCGAGACGGGAAGCCAGCATCCGGGTCTTTGGATGTTCTGGCAAACATGCTGTCTGCTGGAAAACGGGAGAAGAACCGGCGAACCGTAGTGTCAACCTCAAGCTGTCGCAAGGTTCCAAGTGCACAGAGTAGCTGTGCTTTAAATGGCACGGGCACGGGTGAGCCCCGTAACGGCGACGCTTAAAGCGACGCCTTTGTCTTAAGGGGGGAGACGAGCAAAGCCTCTGTTGCCCACCAAAGCCGTGCCTCGGTCATGGCTCATGGCAACGTGAGAGGAAAAAAGGGACTCTGTTACTAGGTTTGTACTGATTGGAAGATTCTTTGAAAGCACGGCCGAACGCTCCCTTCTGCGGCTCGGCCACAGCTCCCTAGGCCGCTAGGCGACAAGCTCTACCCGGCTCTGCCTCTCGGAGACCGGGCTCACCGCGATGGGTAGCTACGCTCAGTGCGAGAGAATCTGGTGACATTTCCACCTCTTGCTGGAAGGCATTCAGGAGGGCCATGTAGATCTCATGATGTCGCACACCACGGCGGCGAATGAAAGGAGTTGAATTTCCTGGGCCCCAGGATCGCCAGCTCAGCATACAATCGATATCGTCGCCAGGTGACTGGTCCTCAGGCTCGATGGTCAAAGCTCGAGCCAAGTCTGTCTGCTGCTCTGGCTCCTGCATGAAAGCTGGCGAATTTGCAGAAGGGTGGATGCACCTGCTCTCCTGCAAGGGCTGTCGAGAATGTCGAGTCAGACTGGCAGCGGATCCCATAGGATGTCTAGCTTAAATGGGCCTCCGCCCAAGACTCCGGGGAAGCTCAGCTTTGTGCTGATCGCCGCATAACATCTCTGAAGCCAAAAATTCTGCGAGTGACATCCAGTCCTACAGTGCCAGCTTCTGCACCCACATGCCTGGAGCTCACTACCTGTACATGCTAGGAGTCGGGGCAGCAGCCCGTCTCTTTTCGGAACCCCCAAGCGCCCGAGCCCGAGCGTATTTTTCGTCGTGCCGAAGCTGGGGACCTCAGGGCGAGACTCCACGTGCGCGTGGCTTTCTCACTCCAGGAGGCCTCTCCGAGGGCCCCCGGCCGGCATGGAGAGTGCCGAGGGAGGCCGATGGCTCTTCTCCTTGCTCCGCCCCTGAGGAGTGTGTGGGGGCCGCGATTCGGCGGAGCAGTCAGAAGGAGCAGACAGAGCCACTTTGTGCGGTTCGCCTCCTTGACAAGGCGGCGCTCCTTCCCTTCGGCAGATCCTAAGAGACCAAAAGACAGCAGCGAAGAGGGAAGGGCATCACTCTGCGTCTTGTTCCGCTGCACACTCCGCGCACTCCACAGTGGGGCATCTGCCTGGCACTTTGTAGCTTTCCCGGGAGATGGCTTGCCTGGCTTCGTAACCAGCTCCCACACTCAGAGACGAACACACGGCTCTCTCTCTCTCTCTCTCCGCTTGCGCTCCTATAGAACTTTTCAGGTTGCCACAAGCGGTTGAGATCTCTGGTCCATGCCCCAGAATCTTTCAAGCTTGCGCCTCTCATCCCTGTGAAGGGCATACCTGAGCTGGGGCTACCGCAGCACAGATCGAGCCTTGAACCCTCTTTCCCAAGAGATGGAAGCAAAATAGGAGTCACATGCCCTCATGTCTGGAGATTGAGCCACTGAAAAGCCTCTCATCCAGCCTTCCAGCCTTTCATCCCGAAGTGCCAGGCCGAGCGGCTGCAAAAGCAGCAGCGCGTGATTCGGGAACCAAGGCGTTAAAGCCAGCTGTTCCTGGCCAGGCAATAAAACTGTCGCATCAATACAACTGTTGCACATTCGACAAGGATGGCCGGACCGAACGTAGGCACATGCAGGCATGCAGAATGCTGCAGTCAAGGTCCTTGGCCAGCAAGCCAAGCTTCGCCAGTTCGTTCACCAACTGTCGCAGTCACAAGGCTTTCTTGCAAGATGGGCGGTGCGAAGCGGAATCCAAAGGCTGCCGGACGTTGAACTTCAGAGAGCCCGTACGCACTCGTGATGACAAATACCGACTTTCCGAGAGGCCGATAGCCCATCTCCAGCCTTCATGTCTAAGTTGCCGCCAGAGCTGGTGTCCGTGCGAATGTCCAAAAACACCCAAATCCTGTGCAAGATACAGGCTGTTCCGCAGGCTCTGGGCAGGCTGCTTACATGTTGCTTCATGCCGCATTCTGCCATGCCCAGACTGTGGCAAGCCTGTTCGAGCTTTACCCACATTGCCTTGAGAAGTTCCGGCTAGATCGCACTCGCGGACATTTCGCGAGTGTTTTGGAAAGATCACATGGAACGTAGCGACACCAACAACCCTTGTCAAAGTCCGGTCCTCTCGTGGCTGTCGGAATTCTCGCCCTGAGACGTCTCTTTTTGTGTTTCGGGAAGAAATTCAGCAAAAGCCGGCAGAGGTGCCTCGGAGTGCTTCTTCTCACCGCTCCTGCGAGGCCTCCTGGAAGCCGAGGCCGCTCCGTCACGCGGCTGAGACACGCCAGCTGCCGCGACACGCAAAAAGGCTCCTCCACCGCTGGAGGATGTTGGTATGATTCATCACCTGATCAGACATAAACTGACGCCCCATCTGGTTGCTCACTGTCATCACCGAAATTTCGAGGTGGCCGAGGCTCCCACAATCTCCTGCACATGCCGCGGCACCTGCAAAAGTGGCATTCGCGGTCGTATGTGTATATGACAACGCCGGCTGCCTGCACACGAGTGCATACAATGTCCTTGCCCGCTGGACGGTATTACAAACTCAAGACGGAATTTCCCTGCTTCATGTTGTCACAGCGATTCAATCAACCTCCCTACGCTTCTTCGCATCTTGAGAGCAGGGCCTTGTCAAACTGATCCGCATCCTGCATCAATCGAAAAAAGTTGGTGCTGCGAGACTTAAACTCATTGATGCTCTAGAAAGTCTAAGCCTCCTCAAAGGACCCACAGAGCATCTCCCCCCGCCAGGGTTCAAACCCGAACTGCAATGCCTGAACTCTCCTCTGCCAACGGCCGGCCTCGCCCCAATCCTTGTCCTTGGCGTCTCCAGTCCAAGGCCACAGAACGAGACCTTGAAGGTCGCAGCGAAACAGCACTTTCCCTCCTGCCCTTTCGGTGGACTCTCGATTGGGGCTCTCGATGAAGAACTTGCCCTCGAGAAAGGTAAGCTTGGAACAAAGAAACGGGAAAGGTAGCGCGGAGCGAAATAGAGAAAGCGAGCGAGCGAGAGACAGAGAGGGAGAGAGGGACAGAGAGGCGGAGGCGGAGGCAGAATCAAGAGGTTCGGGAGCACGCGCGCGCGGCACCACAAGGCAGTCTCCCTCTCTGTCCCGCTCGTCTGGGGTGTCCATGCACCGCCAAGGAGCTTTTGATGTGCGCAGGAGTAGTGCACCTGGCAACGCCACTCCGTCAAAACACGCATCGGCCCCGGCCGGCAGGGGGCAGCTGGCTTCGCGGGCAAGGTTATACAAAGTTACGGCTTTGGGATTTGGGCTTTGGGGTTTAGGGGTTTGGGATTTAGGGTTTAGGGTTCAGGGCTTTGGCTTAGATTTCAGGGTTTCGTCTTGAGTAAAAGATTCTCGCTGGATTCACTCGCTTACAGTTTTCGTGTTGGGCAAAAGGCTCTCGCTGGATTCACTCCGAAAAGCTTTTCGTCTTGGGGAAAAGGTTCCTGCTGGATTCAGGGCTTAGGGTTTTCGTCTTGGGAAAAAGGTTCCTGCTGGATTCACTTCTTAGGGTTTTCGTGTTGGGCAAAAGATTCTCGCTGGAGTGGGGGAAAAGTTTCCTGGGTTCACGCCTCAGGGTTTTCGTCTTGGGTAAAAGGTTCCTGCTGGATTCATTCTTTAAGGATTTCGTCGTTGCATCAGGGGTTTAGGGTTTAGGGGTTAAGGTTTACGGTTTTGGATGCCGTTAGGGCTTAGGGTTAAGAGTTCCGTCTTGGACAAATGGTTCCTGCTGGATTCAATCCTTAGGGTTTTCGTATTGGGCAAAAGATTCTCACTGGATTCAGTCCGTAGGGTTGGGTTTCGTCTTGGGCAACAAGTGCCTGCTGGATTTACTCCTTGGCTTTTAGGGTTTACGGGTTTTGGATTAAAGTTACATTGGAACTGCTCGGACTAGCAAGGTAATTCGGGAATCTGGGCCAGTCGTGCGAAATTGTGTACGTAGAGACTTCGCCCGATGTCGATGCTCCGAAGGCCTGCACGCACTTTTTCCACAATTGGCCAGGCACAGGAGTTTGCGCCGGGGAGAGGCTGCTTACTCCAACGGTTCCATTGCGGCAGCTTCCGGAGGGTGGCTTCGTGAGCCTCGCCAGAATCCCTGACTGCGAGTTCTCCGTGTCACACCTCGACAACATAAGTGGCGAAGCCACGATGCTTTCATGCGGCAGGTCGCGCGTGCAGCTTTGGCTTCGGACAACGGCCATGAATCACAGAGAGCGTCAGTCCAACGTCATAACTTCAGTTGTGTTCCACTCCAGCTCTTGACTGAGAGGCACATCCTCCTCCTGCTCTTCTTCCTCTTCCTCCTCCTCCCCTCCTGCCTGGCAGAAGTCAACTCCTACATCTTCTTCTTCTTCTTCCGCTCTTGTGCGCTTCTCCTCTTGAATTTCTTCAAGAGTCGGCAACATATCTGAAATCAGCTTCAACATGTCTCGGACCTCCTTTTCCGACTTCTTGTCCGTGTCCTTTAAGGCTGTGTACCCTGAACCTCTCTTCTCCCGCTCTCCTGGCTCAGGAACTCGCTGCGCTTCTTTTGGGGCTTTCGGCAACAGCTTCGACTTCGGGGCTGCTTCGGCTCCCTGAGATCTTTGATCCACGACTTTCCAGACATCTTCCTGCAGAAAGCTGGGCATCGTTCGGGGCCGCTTCGCTCTGGATTTGTCCATGGGCTCGCAGCCTACTGCGGTACCTCAGTACGCTGATCGTTCGATTGTTCGTTCTGAGAAGTGCAACATACACGCCCTCAGTGAAGCTATGGAATGGCCGCAGGTATGGAGTTCTTGTCCTCGGCACTCTGGTTGGGCAGTCAGTTCCTCTTGTCTACTACGAACCCAAACGGCTCCCCACCGGCAGAGTGACAAATAAGGCAGTTGCTACTCTGCTGGCACCGTGTAGCTCTGATTCAGCAAGCTAAGCACGCGTCCACTGGACGATTGGGAAGTTGATACAAGGCGGGTACCGAAATGGTCGTTCGTCGACATCCAGGGCCGTGCTCCAGGCGCAGGTCCCTTGAAACCCGAAAAGGCTCCACCCCTCCCGGAACCGAAGTGCGCGGCAAAAACCCGAAAAAGCCGTCTTAGGCCTGACCCAGGGCACTTCACCCGAGGTGAAACCGAGGCGGTTCGGCACTAGGAAGTCGAAGATGCGCTTGCAGAGCTTCGGGGCATCCTCTTTCAAGAGCCTGTTGACAGGATTTGCAAAGGGCTTCAAGAAGAGAAAAAGATTCATCCATACTGGCCATGCCAAGACATGATGCGGACATGATTCCCGAAAGGCCGCACACCCTCAACCCTGACTCAGTATTATCTCACCGCCGCGACATACGAGCCTCGCAGGGCTGTTCTCCCCCAACCGCGGATGCAGCGCCATGAGGAAGGCATACCTCACCAGGCTAGGAAAGTGCAAAACGGCTTATACAGCTTGCATCGCTCCATCGGCGAATCTCACAATGCATGCATGAGCCAAACTAGAAGTTGGTACGTGAGTACCTAGGGACATACACCTGGAAACGATCAGCCAGCCGGCAGCCGTGCTTTCATGACAAGCATCATGGAGTGCCTGCATAATAGCAAGAAAAAGGCCGAGAGATTGTGGGAGACGCAGGTGAAGAGTTCTATCAGCTGACAGCTCACGTTTTGGAGGGTGAAACCAATAGATCGGGCAAACACCAATTGGTGAAGATCTAACCAAGCAAGGACAGTTTCCTGCGGACCTTCACAGATCCCCTTTGCATTTGCCGGAACTGCCCAAAAGCCAAAAGCCCGTTCAAGCGTATACTCCACATCAATTGCTACTGTGGCATCCTCTAAAGATTTATGCGAAAGCAGGGAGTAGCGCCTACTGTCATCAGGAAGACTGAGAAGTCGTTCGTAACGTTCCAATGTCGCTTCCTGGGCGCGCAGCAGCACCGCTCGCGTTCGAACGCAACTGCACAGCAACTGCAGCGCCACTCTGCTCAACAACGTGCCCGGACGTAACGGCCAGTCTAAGGCGGGTGCTTCAACATCTTCGAAAATCAGCGTTGTGTTTGGGTGCCTGGCTCAGATCCGCCACGTGAACCAGCCAGGGAGGGACGGTTACTGTACTTACGAGGAGACTTGCTCACTGCGAGCTCGGCACTGCCTCTCTTGCATGACTATTGCAGGCTCAACTTCGTAGACAGGACCAGCCACCACATCTAAACTGAAAGCAACAGCAGCCTGCCTTTTCAAAAAGCGATGAACCGTTTCCGGCTTTGGCTGCCTCGGTTTGCCGCAGATTCGCCTCTCATGGAGTGGCCGCTGCCGCCAATCTCTCCACGGGCCCTTTGGGGCTAAGTGCGGCCACGGTGCTTCTGTGGGTCTCGGCTGCACACGCCGATAACGCGTCCGAGGGGACCCAAAGTGTCCTGCAAAGGAAGCTTGTGAACATGTCGTCACTTCGCTGCGAGGAGTGAGGACCACAAACCGTGTGCTGTTGCCCATCCCGCGCTCCGAAATGTGGCTCAAGCTCTGGAGGGAGCAGTGGATGGCAAAAACATTGCTCTTAGGCCTCGGTGCGGAAGGTGTCCGAGCCGAGCGAGAGAGAGCCGAGAGAGCCGAGGAGGCGGCCGAATAGGAAAATGGATGAGCTGGTTGTGGATGGCCGCTGCTAGGGGACCTCTCAGTGCAACTGCGAGAGCAACTGCGAGTGCCGAAGCTCATGTCGGGGCTCCCACATCGCGAAGGGTCCCATGGCCGCAGCGTCGTCTTTTGACCACGATAAGTCAAGGTGATAGGGCCTGAGATGGGCTGAAGCTGACGGCTGCCTCTGAAAGTCCTTTCAGTGTCTGGGCCGCCCACAGTTACCGCTCGGCGCCTGGCTCGCGGCACTCATGCAATGTCGCACGGACATGGAAACTTGAGCACAACAGCAAGGAGCCACACGGGACAACAATCCGCAGGGTGGGCCTTCCCTTCACCAGTGTCATTCCAGTCCTTCAACATGCGTGGTTTGACGTTGTTCAATCATGCGCTGGCAGATGCTGACAGATGCAGCCAAGGCTCTTACTAGCGTCGGCAACCCTACCCCCCTTTCTCTTTCTCTTGAGACAGCATCGTCAGACCTACCCTGGTGCACCATGGCCTCGCATTCGTCGACAGGTCCTTCCCGGAGTGTGCAGATAACCTGACATGAAGCTCCAGACATGATGAGGCTCCAGACATGATGAGTACCCGAGTATCCCAAGTCTGTGCTTGGCCGCCCCTCCGGCCTGTGCTTGTCTGCTGGTGGAAGGCGAGGATCTCTCCTGCCGCGACCGCGATGTCGAAAGACGACGAACTGGCTTCCACAAGTAGGCACAAGCGACCACAAGCGCCCACAACCTCCCACGGAAGTACGACAACAGCAGGCCCTGCTCTGCCTCACTTTCCAGGGAGGGCTTTCCTTGGCCATGGGAAGGTTCGTGGAATGTTCACAAGCTGGACAAGCTGCCACTCTTAGGTCTTTCCTGCCCTGAGCACACGAAGAGCGCCGCGTGCAGCGCTTTTCATCAGCGCAGCGCAACGGAATGGAAAATCTGATCCCGTCCCATGCACCCATTCGACATCCCGGGCCCGTGAGGTGCAGCCAGGGGAGCCCAAGACCGGGTTCTCGCACACCGGCGCCAGCTAAAATCTTGTCTGGTCAAAGTCGACGTCTACACGCGACGATTGCATCCGGTGCCATCTGGGTTCGAACGCATCGTGCGTGGTGCGGACAAAGCAGATCGTCTCGGTGCCTGGTGCACCACGATTATATTCACCAGCTCGAGACCACAGTGTCATCCAGCCGCTGCTCCAATAAGCCCCGCATGTCTTGGTCTGTCAGGTTAACGTAGCACCAACGAGCAGTGGGGCTGCAGTGGATTTCGCGCAAGTGTTCAAAACTACTTGCGGCGAAGATGAAGAGTTGGTTGGTGTCAAACATCGTCAAGTTGGTGCTGTGAAGGGCTATGTAGCGGCTATGAACAACCTGAGAACTCAATAGAATTGGACCATTTCGCGGGCGGCGGCCTAGGTGGAAACCACTTACACCAGCGAAGATGTTAAAGCAGCCGGCCAGCTTCTTCTTGTTGCCCCCGACGGGTGAGACCGTGAAAATGTGCCAGCTGACGTCTCCAAGAACCACCGGCTGCATTCTTGCTGACCTCCAGGCGGAAGGCCCTATTGTCTCATGCCAACGGCCCATCGCGCCCGAGTTGAGGCCCGTGGTTCGACTCGCAATTCTCGGCTCCTCAAAGCCTCAAAGTGCGTAACGTGCGTAACGTCTTCACAGGTGCAAGTGCCGGGCTTGACAGAGGCCTCAACAGAGATTCTGGAGGACCGTCGCGAACAGGAACCAGGAGTTCTGTGATGCTGCGCATCTTTGCAGATTCGCAAAAAGCTCCAGGCCGCTGATTGCCCATCGGCTGTGGCCTGGCAATCCTGCACACAGATAGCGATCCAAGAAAGACCTCCCGGGCTGCAAGAGTGGTACAGCGCCCCCCGAGCAGAGGATGGCTGAGGATAAGATATGGCAATGAGGCTAAGCCAGAGAAACACGTTACACCGGCTAGGCCATCTCCAAGGTCATTCGTGACCCGTGCAAACACCAGCCCCGCATTAATCTGTTCAGGCCGCTGTTGCGCTTAGAGCGAGCTTTTCTACGTCGCAGGTGCTGCCGGCGGGTTGTCTGGCATGCGTTTTGGGGAGCCAGTTTCGACTATCTCTGCTTCTGCTGCTTTCCAAGCTTTTTTCGATCACGTCTGTTCGCAGCCTCAGCACTAAACAAAGAGAGCACTGCGGGCCTAGCAAGCTTCACTCGACCGTGTGCGAATCAACTTCAAAAGCTCTGCGTAAGCCCGGTAGCCTCAAACGCTGTACATGGCTCGACAGACTCTAGACTTTCTGAATCTCCGCGATCTCCTTCTGAAAGCGGGCAGACTTTTCATTGGAAGTCGTGATGCTGACCTGCAACATCTTATGCTGCTGTAGACCTGCTCTTGGCCATGCCACCATGTCACTTGAGGTCTAAGAATCCACACAGAGCATGTGTTTAGAAGCGGGAATCAACCAAAGCCTCAATCACGGCGTCGATGAAGGTATTGCATTTCAAGTAGCCCTGCACCTGGGTGCCGTTTCAATTCAGTCTCCGACCAATGCCGCTTTCCAGCTGAGAGCCGCGCGTTTGTGATGGTGACCTGACAGATCTTGAGCAGGAGCACGACCGTTCATGGACAGAAGCACAAGCGACTAGCTGGCTTGGGGTCGACAGCCAAGTTCGGACCACACCGCTTGAAAAACACCCCTGCTGGCTAAAATCAGAAAAACCGCATATGCTCCGTAGCGGCCGCTGTGGCTGTTAAAAAGCCTCATGCATCTTCCTGAAGCAGCTACAGATCGAAAACCACGGCTGCCAGGCAACAAAGGAATTTCACAGCCAAAATATGTGTTGAGCAAGACTGTACTGGATCGAGTGTTCCAGAAAACTGTCCCAAGGAGTAAGTATAGAACTGCTCAAGCTGCTGACTTCGCACTGGTGGTCGAGGTGCAACAGGTGTTTAGCGCTCGTCGCTAAAACTGTTTCAACATCCGATGTGCAGGACAAGCATCGGGATCTTACAAGGCCAAGCCACTTTAGACTTTAGAGGGGCGCATGTATATCATGCTGAACACTCTTCAGGACGGTCATTTTGGGGGGCCTTAGAATGCTGTATCCTGCATCAGCTGGGGGCGCGGGTCGTTGAAACGTCTCAGCCTTTTTTGCTATTGCCCGTGCTGATGCGTCAATCGGCTGGGATGCATATGTTTTCAAGCAAACGATGTGACGAAACTCATGCTCGGTGAAGTGGGCATGGTGGTGCTCCTGACTCTGACTCCGATGGCAGGTACAACAATAAGGCGACATGTGCTCAGTTCAGTTTCGTTATGGTAAACCCGAAGAGGAGCTGATGCTACAAAAGTGAACCAGCCCCGAACTCTTGTTCTGTTTCTCTTGTGTTTCTTGTTGTTTGCACAATCAACTTTCACATGATGAAGCAGCAACAGCAGCAGCAGCGGGCGCATGAGTGAGGGCGACGCAAGAACATAAAGTGGCATTCACACGCTCCCTGAGCTCCCAATAAATATGCCGACCAGCGTCTGATCCAGATAAAACGTGGTAGGACCCCTTGGCCAAATCCAGCGTAGTGGTTGCAGTCTGCCGAAAGCCGTGGCATTCCTCGGGAATGCCGGAAATTCCCACAGGAAAATGACGTGAGTCTCAACATCCCGGGCAGTTGGGGTCTGGCGGGGGGAGGACGGAGCACTTGGGAAGACCCCTCCATGAAAGTTGGTAGGTCATCGCGCAAGTACCAACCCAGCTACCAACATCGGCCTTCTAGAAACTTTGTTGGTAGCTACTGTCAGGCACCGATGTAGTCAGTAATCCAGGGGACTATTTCAGCATCATGCTTTCGGTTTTGCCATCGTGGTACTTGTACCTGCTTATCAATCGCCTCTTTTAGCTTTTCCGCAGGCAGCGACAGCGAAAGCGCGTTTCGGGTCCGCCGTTCGGAACCGCATGGATGCCTTTCATCCTCTTCAAGAGAGAGAGAGAGAGAGAGAGTTTCGGACACGCCCGGGTGCGTTTCAGGTCCGGCCACGTGAGGTCTGTAATTTGAAGGCTTCGGGGGGTTCACATGCGCACCGTCTTGCTGTGCTCTCCACAAGTCCTTCACCCCTCAGCCAGAACTTCCGCATCCGAAGCACATAACCCCAAGATGGCCAATGCCTCTAAGCCCTCATCCAACCCAAAACTCAACCTTAAACCCTCAACCCTAAACCCCAACACCCTGAGCCCCAAACCCAAACCCTTAACCGCAAGCCCAAGCCCTAAAGCCCGCATCCAACCCTAAACCCTAAAAGCGATAACCCTAAACCATAAACCGTAACACCCTCACCCTAAACCCTAAAACCCTACAAAGCCGTAATTCCCAAAAAACCTAAACCCAATAACCCAAACCCCAAACCCCGAACCGTAAACCCGAAACCCTGAAGCCCGAATCCAACCTTAAACCTTAAGATCGCCACCCTAAGCCCTAATCCCCCAAAAACCCCTGAACCCTCAACCCCAAAGCCTGAGATCGCTGATGCCCCAAAACTAAAAGCTAACCTGCGGGGAGCGCCGCTGACCGTTTGCATGGGCGCTTGAGGCTCCCGAGCGTTTGAACGATCCGCCGGTTGGCCGAATCCAGAAAAAGGACCGAAAATGGGGTTAAGGGTTTAGGGGTTTAGGGTTTAGGGTGGCGTCCAAGGCTGGCAAATTCAAGGGACATGCCAAATTTCGGTGAAATAAAAAGTCTGGGGCCCACGCTGACCCCGCGGACCCCGTTGTTTGGTCCGATCTATGCAAAAGAATGACCGAACTTGGCTCCGCCCAACCCTTCCAAGGCGCCCTCCCAATTCAAGGCTCCAGAAGCTTTCTGGGCAGTTTTTAAAGGGCGACTATTCCCTGCCAGGAGTTTACACGTCGAGCGACCCTTGCAGGATGCGAGGGGCGGGTTGTTTGTTGGAAACCTATGCTTCTCGTCGGTGAGATGTGGTCGTTTATGTGTCGAGCTGCGAAGTAGAGAGCAAGAAAACCGCCCTGTTAGGGGGGAAGTAGAGAGCAAGAAAACCGCCCTGTTAGGGGGGTTTGGGGTTGAACCCTAAACCCCTATCGAGAATAGTTGGGGTGGTTGGGGTGGGACTACATGCTGACGCAAGCGCGCGATAAGTGGTCGCTACAGTAAAATGCGCTCCCACCGCGTGCACACTGACACTGTATGCACACCACAAAACCCGAAGCCCTGAGCCACAAACCCAAACCCTAAACCTCCAGCCCAAAACCCACAACGCTCGAGAAGCGACAATCCTTCTTTCCTTTCATTCACAATCCGAGCTGCCTGAACTCCGGCCAGGCGCGGCTGATTGCAAGCGCTGTGATCAAGAGGGATGACTGGAAACTTAGCACCAGGAGATGCATTTCGTGTGCGCATGGTTCGTCGAAGCCGCTCTAGCAGTCACTAGCATGTAAAAGAGGCTGGCCATTCTTGCATTGTGATCGCTAGACCGCCAGAGACTCGCTTGTTCCGGCGCAAGCTGCTGTGGAGCTCAGGGTGTGCTGGAGAACTGGATCCTCGAGCACCATTTCAGGGAATACACAGACGCAGTCGCTGGTCAAAATGACAGAGAGAGAGAGAGAGGGAAGACCACTTTTAAAGCGTCTGGGAAGAGGAATGAGGTGCCAGTCAGGCAATCGTGAGATCATGCCAACTGCCCTTTCGCTGCGGGTCCCAAGACTTCTTCCACTCGACCGAACAGTTGGGCTGATTGAAAATCATCGTCAGGTTCACACCTCAGAGGAACAAAGCAAGCGATTCCCTTGTATTGCAACGAAAGTTGAATGGCCACCTTCTCATTTCTGCCCGGATGCGTGACACGGGGTCCCCAGTGTCGCCGAAACCTTTGCACTTGCCAGGATTCCAGTAGGCCGAGGGTTGGAATCCCCTTGTTTTGTGGAGAAGCTGGTCTGCATCGCCCTTGCTAGTCACTCTGCTCCCCTATTTGCATCCAGGTATCCGGGTCCCACAGCCTGTACCTTACACACACTGACAGGGGGCTTCTTGAGCAGAGGACAGCACTCAAGCGCTCTGCCGCCCAGCTGCAGAGCAGTGCTGGACGTGCTGCTTTGTGTTGTGGCAGTGCACGTCGGTGGTTCTGACTGAGCCATCAGCAACATGGACGACGGCGTCCTCGAAGTAAAGGGGAACAATGGGAGAGCGCTAACCACAGCAATGCATCCGAATCACTTCCCCTCCCCATCGTGGAAAGCAGCCGAACAGGCAGAGACGATGCTCATGCTCCAGACGCTTACTTCAGGATGATAATCCAAATATCTGAGAGGCTGGGTCACCGCGGTTGTCGACTGTTCTTGATTCTTCGCTGTACTCAGGCTAGGGAGCCTGCCGAAGGAGCTACAGTCTGAGGGACGGACCAGGTCTCCCTCTGTCACGTGCTGAAAGTCCAGATAGACCTGAAGTGCCCAAGGTGGCGCAAAGGCCTGGGCTCTGGTGCCTTCCTGCTGGGCTCCCCCGCTTCCTCCTCATATGTCGTGAAGCCCTTGAACGAATCACAGCGCTTTATGCCTGACCAGACTCTCAGGTTGGATGCTCGATACAGAGGCTTGGCTGCAAGAAGCTCATCGTGGGCAATGACCAATGGGACTCCCTACCATCGGAGCCAATTGACTCGGCTGACGGTTGACATCTTGTGCCAGCTTTGTTGGTGCCATCCGGTTGGGGAGGTACAACGTGCATCGACGTGTTGCAACCCCAGGTTGTCGCAGAGGCACTGTGCAGATAGCATGTGTGGAATGCACGACGTTGCAGCTTTCAATCTGGCTCCGAGCTTGAAGTCACGACAGAAAAGCCCTGCCTTCTAAGTGGATAAAGCGCGGCTTTGAGTAGATGCCCTGCATGAGGATCAAGTTGCGCCAATAGTCCAAGTCAACTTCGAATGTCCTTATCACACTTAAGTTTGGTCACCGGAAGGGTAGGCTTTCTCTACGCTTTTGTTGAGGCCCGCCAGGGCTCAGAGATATGTCCCACGCCGTGATTCGTTCAGGAAACCGGTCGGAAGCCTATGTACCTGTCTGGGGTAGCTTGCAGCTCGGTCGCTTGGCAGGGAGAAAGCCGCTGTTGTTGGAACATCCCTGCGCCCAAATCGCTCCTGGTCCTCGGATAAATTTTGCCGGTGGCAACCGCATGCCAACCGGGCGGGCACAGCAAGCAAAACTTGGCCGACCCGCTTGAAGCTCAATTTTCAGGACGTCTCTCGCAACGAGAGACGTCTTTGAGATCCATAGGCCGCCCAGTATCCCAAGCCTGTGCTCGGCTATGCCTTGCTTGTTTCCCCTTCTGCCGGGGAGCTATCGCAAACCCTCGTGTCAAACTCGAGGGCCTGCCGGCACTTCAGGTCAGTTTCGAAATCATGACAATGCTCCCCCAAAACCTACCTTCAAACAAACTCGTTAACACGGCTCTTGGTGATCTCAGGGCCTTGCCTTCAAGGGCACGCGGCCGTCCACCCTTGATCTCACCTGTCGGCTTCAAGGAAAGCTGGCAGTCCATCATGTCCGTCGTTAAAAACATGGCGCTTGCTACTGCTGCTACCAAGCCATCACTTCGCGGCGTTGTGCAAGAAACCTTGCCGTGAATGGACTCGGTGTGTTGCTACACTTCCCAAAGCCAAGCCGGAGCTTCAACCATCTCATGCAGCCGCCAACAACTCCCCAAATAAAGGGTGGCCTGGATGGACTCGACAGCACAGTCCGTTTCAGCAGAGACAACTGTCAGCTGCCTCAGCTGACCACGCTGAGACAGGCCGTCAAAGCTTGCGGACAAGAGGCATCGTCTTTTGGGTTTTGAAAGCCGGGTTATCCTTGGATACATAAAGTATAGTTGTGACAGCTATGACGTACATGTCAGACCTGCGACACGAACTGGTGCATTAGGATTTGCAGCTGAGATTCGAAAATCGTTGCAGTCCATCGCTCCTTTTCGTGTCCATACAGCAAGGGAGTTGATAACACATTGTCCGACATCAGGTGGAAGGTCAGCATTGTGAACCTGTATTCCGACAATCCAGGAGCCGAGTCAATGAGCTGTTACATGCATCGAAAAAGACAGCCTTGCTGAAGGAGAGTGCACGGGCGAACTCAAAACAGATTTTAACTATTTCAACAGCATCCTGCAACTAATGGCGGCGGCGACTGTTCAATCCCAAAGACGCATATGCACCACCAGGAAGGAAACGCATGTCCGTGACCCGGTAGAAGTTTGTCGCGTCCACCTGAGACAGGCTGCCCGTTGCGATCAGCAGGCTTAACTAAGCAAATCCAAAGCCATGCCAGATGTCCGGTCGCAGAAAACGATCTGTCCCTCCCCTGAAACTTCTTCTCCAGGACACGATTGGCAAGGTGGTGCGACCCACGTTGACCGACAATTTCACCTCAGGCACACGTGCTTTCGGCGTACTCTGCCTGCTACAACATGCACCGAAGGCCTTAAAACGTGCAGCTTTGGGGCTTCATAGCCCGCTGCATCCAACGAATCGCCAGTCCTTCAAGTTTCCAGTGGCTGATGAGCAATGCCCTTTCGCAAGACCCACAAGCCCTTCATTGCCCAATGACAAGCGTCGAGAGGTTGAAGAAGCTCAACACTGGGCTGCTCCGTCGAACGGAGTGACAGACCTGCTCTTTCTCGGAGCCTTGGATGCATTCTATCTGCAGGCTCCTCTGTGGAAGCTGTGCTCTCGGGCTTCCAGAGCTCAAGACTTCCGTGCACAAACCTATTGTGGCTGTCGTGACGGGTGCTGAAATCCCTGCACCAGGATATCGCGTGCCCGGTTGAGGCAAGTCCGAGAAGCACAGCTCGGCGATGAGCCTTTTGGCAACAGTGTCTGAGGCCGTCCCAATCCGCACAGATCCAAAGACATGAGCTCCGGGCTTGGCAGAGCGAAGGTGCAGGAAGTGCCTTGCCTCGTCCTGGCCAGCTTTCCCACCTCGCAGCGACCACAACTTCACGGCGCTTAGCCTCCGATCTGAAGCGCCAACGCAGCAGCCAGGTGGCAGCTGCTCCAAAGAGGTTGGTAAACTGCATAGCAGCCGGCAAACGTATGATGCGCGACCTCTCCGATGCAGCGGGAATGGATGGGTGGCTTCGGTGGGAACCGGCTTCAGACTGCGTTTGTCGCATTCTTAGGACGGAGCAGCAGAGAACGGTTCGTCCAGTTGCTGCTTCTCACACTCCTGCCAGCTCAGGCTTCATTTGTCTGCAGAACTCTCCCAGACCGCGCAACCCACCTGACCTGTTTCGTCATGTTGGGCATGAAATGCGTGGTGAAGCGACCAGTGCGTTGATTCTCCGGAATGCCCATGACGTAATGGGCCATCCTTTGCCAGATCCGTCTATAACCGATCGAATGCTCACTAATTGGGAGAACAAAAAACGGGTCGGATTGATAAAACAAGCATTCGGCCCGGCAGAATGCCGATTGCCAGGTATGCCAAAGCCACTATAAGTGCGTTCTGAAATTAGTTAGTCGGCGTCCGTGCTTTTGTGTTCGGCTGCTCCTTCATGAACAGTTTGTACCAAGTAGAAGAATCCCCTTGGCCTCAGGAGAAGGGAGGGGCAACACGGAAAACCCAAAAAGCGGGTGGGGGTGGGTATTTATCTAAAAACTCCACATGACGCACGCACGACTTGAACTGCGACCGTCGAGTCGATATGTTCATGTCGACGGTCTCGATCTCCATCGGTACATTGATCCAGGGGCCTTGGCTACAGAAACTGCTGTCGTCTGCGCGTGAGCAATGGATGAGTAGTTGAAGGAGGACCCGAAAACCTGGCCGCTAAGCCTACACGGCTGCCATGCCTGCCGTCCAGCAACGTGACCACAGATATCCCCAAGGAATGCACCGGTGGAAGACTCTGCCGTCATCAGTCCGACCGCTAATAGTCACAGATTCAGGAAGGAAGCCTGCGAGACGTGAATCTGGTTTCAAGTTGACAACGCAGAGTGCAGCCTGTGATCAGGTGACAGATGGCCATGGATAACATCAACGGAAGCCACTCGCATCCCGGTCTTACCGACACTGCCTGATTTGAGGATTTGCACCGAGTAGGAGTTGTGTGCAGTTGTATCCCAAGCATCGATCTTGATGTTGTAGGGATAGTGTTCCTGACAGGGTTGGAGGTAATCTAGAAAAACAGGGCAGACGCCATGCAATGTTGGATTTGGCATGCAGATTGTGGTAGGTAGCCAAAAAAAGGTTGAGACTGAGATGGAAATGGGCCATCACGAAGTACAGTCTCTGCGGACAAATGTGCACAGCCCACACCGGAAGAGGAACTGCACTCGCACTCGACACTCCTAGCTCGGGGATCTCAACGTCTCGTATTGAAAGATGACCCAGGACCAAGTCCAGAGTTGCGTGTGCCTTGTCCATAGTGACAGCTTTGGCGATGCTGCTTCCCCAGGTCCATTGCGACTGCACACCGGGCTCGGAGGAGTCGTGCCTGAGTTGTGATGGAATCCGGTCGTGGTGAGATGAACTCAGCCATCATAGCTGCTGGTGCTAAGCGCAAGTGAAATCTCAAGTGAAACCCGCAGGCACATCTCAGTGATTTGTTGAATATGATGACACAAGGAATCCCGACGCAGACCAGGATCACAACACCTTCAGCCTGTGATTTAGCACCGCGTTGCATTGCCAGCTCCGTGACATCTTTCGGGTTTGCCTGGTTCTGCTGTCTTTCCCTTCACTCCATTGAACAAATGGGCTACGGAGCTCCATTTCTCGCTCTCTCTCTCTCTCTCTCTCCGTGTCCCTTCTCCGTGACGTTTCAGGCAGGGGCACGCTACGTCAGAGCCCACCTGCAGAAGTCAATCGGCCAAGCTGGTTATGAGTCACTGAGAAAACGACCGCCCGACTGTTGGGACTGTGACGGCTGCACGAAAACGATAAAGTCGGGGTTTAGTTAAGTTTGGCGGCTTCGGGTACCACCGAAATAAATCACACAGCAAGTCTGCCAGGCAATGCCAAAGCCGAGGGAGAAGATTTGTGCCCTGGACGCCAACTCTACTGCAAGAACCATCAGCCCGCCTGTGCGGTGACGGATATCATCGATTGCATACGGTCAACTAGGATGTTGTAGTCCTCAGCACATGGAATGCCCCATGTACTGTCCATCCATAAGTCGCCCTCCACTGCGGGGCCGCGGGGCTGGGGCTTTGCCGTCCAAGCAGCGTTCACATGCCTTGCGAAGGGGCTCGACAGCGATCCTGCGGCTTTTGAAATGTCGTTAAGCTTTTTAGATGGGAAACCCCTCAGCTCCGCCTGCACAGCCTCAGCTCCGGACCTGTTAAAGGAGTCTCTACAAGAATACACCCTCCCCGCCCCGCCAAGATGTCGTGGCAGCTCCTCCGATGACCCGCAAATCTGCGAGCATGGGTTGATGAAGCCTCAATGTCTGCAGGGCTAGCTTGCTGGCCTGGAAACTTGCAAGCAGCAGTCTGGTAAAAGGTTGCACTCTTGGGCCAGTGGTTGGCAATCGCTCAGACGGCCAAGCAAACCTTGCAATTTCGACAGAATCAGAGGCCACGGCAAGATCCGCAAACCCAGATAGCACGTCAGCACGGCCAGGCCTAGGGTAGCCCAGTCTGTCATGGATGTGTCTCGGCTCTCTCTACTAGTCAAGGCATACTTCCCAATCGGCCACTCCAACTACGATCTTGCAAACGCACACTGCTGAAATTGATGCTACTGTTACGGTGTTGCCCTCTGCCGGAACGCGAACCTCGCCGCGGTTCAGCTAGTCTCTTCAGTCAATAGCCCATCATAAGCCGAGCCGCACAGAAATGTCAGAGCCTGCAGAGGGTCGAAGAGCAGCAAAAGCAGCTTTTTGGCACCTGTCCTGAAATGGCGGGTGGAGGCCTCGCACACTGCCACACACTCCCAACGTCTGCCAGGCAACACGCGCCGTCCCAGTAGGCGACCAAGCCAGGCCAGATCAAGAACCCTGAAGCCATCCGATGCCGAGTCGTCGCCTGAACTGACAATCGGATTCACAGGCTGTAGCCTTCTTTGTATCCCGGTAATATCTGAGCTGCCTTCATCAATGTTGCCTTGACGGGGAATCTCTGCACGTTGGCGGGCGAAAGAGCAAAATGCACCTCATTGGACCAGCTTCAAAATCCTGACTGAGGACACCCTGTTGCTGTAAGCCCAGGGGCCGTCCGACATGCACACCATGTTTGCTCCGATCTGTATCGGTTCCTGGGGTTGGTATCTGTGCTCCATGTCACTCGGACGTGTGATAGAGCATCGCAAAGCATGGGCCGAGCTGCAGCATCTGAGACGACCTGCAATGCAACTGTACAGTGTTGATTGCACACCGCGGACTCGGTGTGGAGGATGTCCAGGATCGAGGATGTCATGTAATACCTGGAAACATGAGGACAACGATGCCACGATGCTCAATGTGGTTCGGGACGATGCACATCACTCTCAGCATGATTCAGTCGGAACCTCCATCACAGAACAAATTGGGGCCAAGTGGCAAAGGAGACATCATCACCAGCAGGGCTTTCAGCCCCTACCATGCAGGATTAAGAACTTTGAAGTTTCGGCACGGAACGGTCGTTGAACCCGCCACGTTACACAGAAAAAGAGTGATGAAAAAGCGTCCTGACCAAAGTGGAGCGAGCCCATGAGCAAGATCTGAAAGGCTTTGCCTGAATCTAAGAGCAGCTTCAGATGCCAGGACTCTGTGGGGCCTCCTCGGATGTTCTGGGGATGCGGCCGATGCAGATCGCAACTCCCAGCCAAACCCACAGTAGCGCTGGTTCGAAGTAGGACGGCTTATGCCTGCGCAGGTCCGAAGCTCCCTTCGAAGCACCATCATGTCACACACCTGCGAACGACAAAAAGCAAGGACTCCGACGGAGAGCTGGGGATGCGCCTACCTCCCTGCCTACGTACGTGTTAATTATCCCATCGTCCCGTACATCGTGTCGATGAGTGCAATTTGCGCATGCTTTTCGTACATACATACGTACCTATGTATGCACATAGGTGGGCAGTTACGTAGGTTTGTACATATTTAGGTATGCAGGCATGTTTGTATGCATGCATATTCATTCATATATATATATATATATACATACTTATTTATTTACTTACTTGTGCACGCATACATGTATGCATGCATGTGTAGGTGTATGGAATTAGGTATGTAATTATGTATGCATGTCTGCCTGTATGTATGTGTGCATGTATGTATCTAGGGCACCTAGCTATGTAGGTACGTACGTACGCAAGTATGTATGTATGTATGTATGTATGTATGTATGTATGTATGCATGCGTATATGTGTAGGTGTTTGTATGTGGGTTTAGATATAACCTGCATGTAGGTACGTACGAACCTACGGTAGGTACGTATGCATGTATGTATGAATGTGTGTCTGCTACTATGCAAGTGTGAGTAGGTGTATGCTTGTATATGTGTATACATGCATGAAAGTTCATGCATGCCGACCTGCCGACATATATGCACGCACGAACGCATGCGCACAGGCAGGCAGGCAGGCGGGCAGGCAGGCAGGCAGGCAGGCAGGCAGGCACAGAGACAGACTGACATCCATGCGTGTATGCTGCATACATGCAGTGTGTGGCTGCATCAGAGGAGCTTAAACTTCAGCAGAATTCCATCTCGAAGCGCGGCCTCGTCAATTTGCGTTTGCGTTTGGGCTTTATTTATTCACCTGCCCGGGCATTGCGCGACGTCAGAATCGCATGTTCCAGTCTCTATTTAGTCTTTAAAATTCTTTAGGGTTGAAGCAACTAGGGCTAGGGCCTAGGGCTTAGGTGGCTTAGCGTTTTTGGATGTTTTATGTTTTGCGGGTTCTTTGATGTTAGCCATATGTTGTCAGGCCCAGGGTGCAGGGCTTAAGGCATGTCACCAGCTTTCGGGGTTTTGGATGTGGCCTCGTTCAGCGGGCTTCTCGTTCGGATCTGAGTGGTCTTGCTTCGGGTGCGAAGTGGTCTGGTTTGTTGGGCACTCGGACGGAGAACTCGTACGTTCGAATCGGTCCCCCAGAATCAGAAGCCCGAACATCTCCAGGAGGCTGCCAGGCGACATAATACAATTGACATCGAGCTGTGGCCAAGAAAATCCGCATGACTGCCTTAACAGGGCTGCACATGAAGGAAGTTCAGATACTTTGTCTGGAGACACTGCATGCCGCTCCTGTGGCAAATTGTGCTCCTCACTAGAAATCCAAGACACCACGCTTCCAAACAGCAAGGGAAAGACCAGCACAAAGACGAAGCCTCACATCCGGAAGTGTACATCAAAACAGCAACACGATACCCTCAATTTCCACAGTTTACTTCGTGGCGCTCCTCAGTTGTCATGCGAATCTGCCTGCCACAAAGTTGAACGAGAAAATGCGGATTCCTGTTCTCGGACTGGGCTAGAGAACTGAACTTCGGAGCCAAGCAGCCAGACAGATCTGGGTCTTGGCCCTTGCCGGTGCGATCGTGAGCAGCTTGAGTCTTGAGACAGTTTTCGCATCCCAAACCCGGCCGCGCCTCGTGGTTCTGACGGCGAAAGAACCGCTCTCCTTCGACCACCTGGAAGCCACTGGCATTGCAACTTTGCATTTTTGCACCGACACATCTCGGAGGGCTTTCTTGCAGAGAGGCAAAGAGAGCGCAGCCCAAAACGAAGAAGAGCACGTCGATGGCGCCCTGCAGCAAAATGTCCTCGAAGCAGCGAGCGAGACGCCGAGCGAGACCAGGTCCGGCACCGGCCCAAACCGTCAAAGGCTCAGAAACCCTTAATGGTCGGACGGTGAGGCGAGCGAGTGCCTTTGACGGTGAGATTGCACCCCAGCGTGTCTCTCTCTCTCTCTCTCTCTGTGCACGCGCTTGTCTTCCTGTCTGTCTCCGTCAGTCGGTCTTTGTCTGCTTGCATTGATCTAATCAGTCTGTCCGTCTTGAGCAGCTCACTCGCTGAGTCTTGCATAATGACATAATGACTGCCATAGTCCGGGCACCATGGAGCTTGGCAGGCGAAGGTTCGGGTCGCTGACCTGGGCTGCGTTCTCGGTGTGCTCGGTGCAAAGACAGCTTGCTGGGGCCTACGAAATAAGGAACGCAGTGTGTTAAAAGACTTCCGAAAGGGGCGAGAACAAATGACGTGGCTGGAACTGGAACTGGACCTTTACATATCTGCTGTTAGACAAACCTTAAAGCCGGATTGAACGAGTGATACAGGGATACTGCCGATAGATGATATCTAGCCACACTTGCCAATCATCGCCCACCAGCTGACGGAATAGCGCCGACAGAACAGAAAGCTTGCATGCAAACATCACGAGTTTAGTGAGTGGATTCAGAGGCGTAGGAATGCCGAGCTAACTGCTCCCTCGGGACCTGCTCCTCAGAGGTCAGTTCCCAGCCGCCAGCGAGACTGTCGCGGAGGAGTAGTGCGAACCAGACGACCTGCTGAAGATCGTGGACTTGCCCCAAACGCCATCCGAGACCCAGTCTGCATCAAACCGTCGAAGTCAGCCAAGCTGCCATGCCCACCACACAGGCCAGGGCAAGAAGAAGCAAGGCATCGAGAAGGAGCCTCAGTTGCTCTGAGCAGCGCGGAGGAGTCGGTGCTGTGTCGAAGAAGTAGCCGGAGGAGGAGCCACACATATATGTATAAATATATATATATATATATATATTTATTTATATATATATATATTATAATATTATATATATATATATACATATTATATATATATATATATATATATATATAGTGCCAAGGACTGGCCGGGATGATTTTGCTCCCCGACACCAGATAGACAAGGCTTGTACAGTCGCTGCAGCCAGGAAGCCGCATCGAATGAGGCCTAAGCGCGCCACTCCGTATCTGTTGGCGATCACACGACCAAGAGGAATTTCGGCCGAGCTCTCTTGTCCCCGATGCAAGGTCTCTGGGTGAACAAGACTTAGTTGAGAGGAGCATCATCCCTTGACCCCCAGGCACCAGATCCTTTCTCAGCCTTTCTCCTAACCCTGGGTTGCAGATGCTCCTAAACCAGTTCTTCGAGCGATTGAGACGACGAGAGCATGATGCCCCTGCCGCTGAGAGGCAGGTTGCGGATGCCTTTCCAGATGTCCGGATTCACGACTAGGCAGAGAAGATCACTGACCCTGGCTTCTTCTTTTGCACCTGAAGGCATGCCGGACATGGCTGGGCTTCTCACTGCACACTCACTCCATCAGCCCGGGCGCGGAAACCCAGCGATGCGGCGCATTCTCCGGCTCGGCTGCAGACGAAGAGGCGCGAATTTTCTGGCAAAGGGCCGGGCTTAGTACAATCCGAGCCCCAAATGAAGTCCGCACTAGCCATGCTATATCGATCCTCATGCCCAGGCTAAAACACTCGTGCCATGGCTACAGTACAGGAATTCGTTCCTTTTCACTTCGTCTCACTGCTGGGGGCAGGGGCGCCCTAACCGCCCTTCCGTTCAGTCCTCCGGCAGCAGCTCTCACTTCTGCTTTCTCGCTGATGACCCTTACTCGCGCGAGGTGAGACCCCGACGAGAGAGAACGACTCCACACCAACTTCGACTTGCAGCCAGGAGGCACGGAAACCTTGGAAGCCTCTGGAGACGTGGCATTGACCACCGGGAGCAAGGATGCAGTGCCCAACTTGGCTGAACGAGGGCTGACCCACTCTACAATAGTTCTGCTCTTCTTTCACGGGCCACCCTCGGTCCATCGGACAGGTCACGTCGGGACCCTCGCACTTTTCAGATGCCTTCAGAATCCAGTCTTGCCAGAGGGTGAAGTTGTGCAAGTCCTGTCCACGGGCTCAGCTTCTTGCGATATCTCACTTCAGGCAAGCTATAGTAAGTGAAGGTGCTCCTTCGCATCAAGCTGAAACCGATGACGAGAAGTCTCAGTGAGAGATGGTTCCGCGAGCTACACGCGATTCGACAAAATGATGATACCTGGGGCTCAGGCTGAGAATCCCTCTGCCTCCGGGCAAGCATGGCCTCCTGCACGGGCACCTGTGCTCTGCAGCTACCTTGGGCCCTACGGTTCTGGCCGATTCTCGATATCGCCCACCTTGCGCTGAAGTATCCGGATTTGCTACATCAGTTCGGAAAGCAGCTGCCCAGAGATCTGCCAGGCCTTGCGGACGGGCACAGAAGAACTTCAACTAATCTGGGTCTGTTACCTCGGCGTCGGCTCCTCAAACTGGATTGCAGCTGGGAGGCTTGACAGCAGAAGGGCAGCCCAAAGCATCATCGCAAGATCATGGCAAGCCGAGGACTGAATTTGGCCGTCGACGGAAGTGTTTGCCCGGGGCTTGGGGGATGTGCAAATGACTGAAACTTCCAATAAATCAGAAAAGCTTACCCCGTGCATGCCCCATAAGGCCTTGAGACATGGTTGATGCGTCCGAAATTGCACATGCAGACAACTTGGTGTCCTAGCCCTGACACGACTCCGGTGCTGAGGCCGTCGACGAATCTGGCCGACCATGACGACATAGATGCCCTTCAAGTGGTGCCTTGCAGTCGACGAATCGGCTTGTGACATCTGCGATTGGCACAAGAGGACGCACCTGGAGATGTCGATTCCATATCGGAAAACCTGAATCCTGAGCAAACAGACGGCACGGACACTTACTTCACTGGTGTAGATGAAAGATCAGCCCACACTAGCTAGGTCCGCAGCATCGCGCTTCCACCATGTGGGCACCAATGTTGAAATGCCGAACGTCGACGCCAAAATTCGCCAAAACCCAAGTGAGCGTTTGAGATGCAGGTTGCACTGTATCTTGCACTCTGAAGACTACTCCGAAGTGCCCCTTTGTCATTCAACAACGTTCTGGACAACAGCGGCACGTGCTCACAACCGGAACGTGGCTGGAAAGCTGCTATGGCTTAGCTGACCTTTGGAAGTAGAGGTCTGACCGTTCAGACGTGAGTTGTTTTGAGCCGATCATCGGATGCGAGTTTACGCAGCATGGCGAGTAGCAAGCCTTATCACCCTGCCCACGGCACGATCCTTGAAAAGATACTCGCGGCTCTTGACTCTATCTGAAGCCTGTGGGGAAGTGCCGCAGCAGTGCTAAACATAGGACCGACCTCGACATGCTACAGATTTCCATTGAGTCGTTTTCACATCTCCAGAATGCGGCAAGCCGCTCCACTCTGCCGGCACATCTCTTCATGCGTGCTCCACCACGCCTGCCGAGACGATCTCAGAAGGAACGGTAGCTACCCTTAGCCCCTTGAAAACCCCCTAAACCTGCGGACTGAAGCTCATGAGCCTGATCCCAGGCCGAGCGGGCCGCCGGGAGATGTCTCTGCCAAGGCTTTCGCTGCAGACCCGGCCAGTGGAGGATCTCGGGCGGTTGAAAGGAGGGGGTCGAAGAGTCAAAGGGCACCGCGTCAGATCAGTCTTAATTATTCTAGCGTCCCGGGGTCCTGAGCTCCTCAAAGCCTGAACTGGGTTCCGTGCCCTGGGCCGCAAGTGGAGCTGCCGTTGCAGCCAGGACGCTGTAATGTTCTCAGCCTTCGGGAAGCTCTGCCCGAACAGGCAGAGATAATCCCCGGTCCGGGCCCCAGAAGGCCTCCGGCGTGCCCCGCAGCAGCGCGTCTTCGAGGGCGGCGGAAGTCTGATCCGATGGCAGATTCGCAACAAAGGCTCGTGCGGAAAGCATCTCGCGGTGGCGTTCGTCTAACGACTTTAGCTGGTTGCATGCCCGCTCTGAGATTGGCGCCATCCAGAAGACCTCAGCAGCAGATGTCCGCAGGATGCTCTGTGCACATCCTTGCACCAACAGCTTCTGCTTCGAACAGAGAACGTCGGCTCTGATCGTTCCCCTGTCGCAGGCGGCTCTGAGGCGTCAGGCGTGCGGAAAGTCGGCTTGGAAGTGGAAATCCAGTGGAAGCCGGCAGTGATCGAGATTCGTCAACTTCGAGGGAGGGACCAAGTCCTGTGAAGGCTCGTGAGAAGCTTCTGCACTTTCGTGACATCCCCGTGCTCCTCCTCCACCCGGATTGGAGCCCACACGGTTCCAGCCTGGGGCACTGCCACGAACCCTTACTTACGGGAGCCCTTGAATTCTTCTGAGCCAGGCTTGGGCCCAAACTCGTCCAAGCTCTGCCTTGGCAGAGCAGCCTCAGCATTAAGAAGGATCCCGGAGGTCCAGGAAGCAAAGAGCCAGGAAGCACCAGGGTGCCTCGGAAGTGGCCATCCTCATCCCAGGAGGCAAAGCCACGACGGTCCGACGCCTGGCGAGGCAAGTCGATATCAGCGGCCCTGTAGCATCACGAGATGTTGCAAGCGCAAATGCCGCCGCCGCTTTTTGCATGCTTTTTGCTGTCTGCAAAGTTCCACAGTGGCTGTTGCCGTTGTCTGATCGTCGCAAATCACTTGGGTGACTGCTGCTCGAGTCCAGAAAAGCAATCAGCGTCTCTTGGAAGATGTGAGCTTCGTCTTGGTACCTTTCAGCAACCATCCCCAAGGTGAAATAAGCCAAGAGAAGTTGAAGCTCTCGATGCCACATCACTGAGCAGCAAGCACGGCTGCATTCACCCAGCTACAAATACCTTCCAAGAGGCTGCACCCGTGTGCAGCTTGATGACTCTCAGACAGCTGTGACTTTGCAACATTCACGCGTGAGATCAGAAGCGGCCGCCCGCACCTCGCCAGCCACGCCGCCAATGGGCTCAGCAGCAAAAGCGGAGGCATCCTGCCACAAGCGGTGCTCTGAAACGCTCCGAGTCTACGACAAGCATAGTGCTCACACTTCTTGATAATGATGCAGTCTTGCCACATCCACCTTCAACCGCAACAGACCCAAGACTGTCTGAAGTAGCCTTGTTCCGAAAGCACCGCTCTTCGCAGTCGTCGTGGTAGTGGTGGTCGCCTCTGACACGAAGAACATGAGCTAGGGTGCTTGAAGTTGGGTGCAAGTCGGTGTGACGAAGCCCAGCTTTCAGTCTGTATGTTGCTAACAAGTGCCGATGATGGTCTTAGCAGCAGCTTTGTCTTGCTGCAATGTGGCTATCGGCGTGAACTTGGACAAAGCAAGCAGTTCAGATGTATGATACACGACAACCTGCTTCCAAGAACACAGCTTCACAGCAGCCACGACATGGCCGCGTCTCTGATGCTTAACACCCAAAGTTGCTGCTCCGGGAACTGTCTCTGAGGTCCTAGCACAGCATTCGTCGCTCGTGCACTCTTCGCCTGGCCAAATTCCGGCAAAGCGGCAGGCAAATCCAGTAAAGCTGCTTCCAGCATGCATCCGTGACATTTCGAGAACTTTGTGGTGCTTTTGTGCTGCTACCCGAGTTGGGCGAGAGGTTTGGCTGCATGCACAGACCGGACTGCCCGCGGCCTTCGCAGAACTCTGGTAGGCCCTGGCGAATACGGCTACGGTAGTTGCACTGCTCTGGTCGCTGCCGGCAAAAGCCCACATCTTGCTACCCAAAACCCGGTACGCGAGTCCTCCTCCTTCAGAACTTCACCGTCCGCGCACACATCTTTGTCGCAGGTCACCGGCAGAATCTGCAGAAGCACGGAAGGCAAGGGGAGTATCGTCAAGAGAATTCTGCCAAAGAAAAGATGCTCATGTGCTTTTCAGGAAGGCAAGGGCTCCAAATCTGCATGCCTCGATCTTGGTCTTGAAGTTCTGCGAGTGGGAGCAGGCAGCAGGCACCCGGCTCAGAAATTGCTACCCAGAGAGAAAAAAGCAAAGGTTTACTTGCTTGCTCGAATGCTTGCTTGCTTGCTTGCTTGCTTGCAAAGCGTGTGGAGGCATGGGAAGCACGCTCCCCACCCCCCTGCGTCGTAGCGCTACACCAGCGTCTGAATCAGGTTAGTCGGTGTTGAGACCCCCTTCGAAGATTTACTCTCTCTCTCGCGCTTTTGTCTTGTCTTGTCTCCGAGGCAGAGGAGACTATTCAGGCCCCCCGCGCCGAGCGGCGCACCCCTATTTAAGGGCGTTGTAGGAGGGGGTGAGCAGACAAGTGGCTTCACGTAAACAGCGATGGTTCCTCGGTCACGGGGCCAGAACCTCTCTACTTCTCTTCTTCTGCACAGCCAAAGGAAGGCAGGTCCCTGCCCCCCTCGCGCGCTACCTCTCTCTCTCTCTATTATCTAATCATGACGGTGGCTCCTCGTGGCAGCCTGGTCCTCTAGTAGAACAGCAAGAAGCTTTGCTGCCTGTCCTTAGGAAATATCCAATCCAGGCTCTATACTTCAGCACTTCATGCTGCACAATCCTTCGATGTGATGCACCCTGGCTCCAAGCTTGCCCGTTTTTAAAAGTAGCCTGCACAGCCTCTCACTCGATTGCCTTGACGTACCACACCCCAGCCCGTTCGTCTTCGGCCACACTTGGGCCAGGATTGCATGCGATGTGTCTGATGATTTTGATATTTGTTCAGATCGCCGTGGCTGGACTTCGTCGGAGGCCCCGAACTCGGGCAACATCTGTTTGCGTGCTTTCTGGATAGGAACGATGCGCCCCTTGCTGTCGCTGCAATGGCCTGCGCTCAATAGAACGGTCTGGTGCACCGACGGCTTTGTGCGTTCGACTACCGCGGCCAATGTGCAGTGTTTCCAACTTTTGGAATTAGCAGCTCTTCGGGGATGCTGACCCTGTAGCATTCCAAGAATTGCGCGGCTGCTTAACTATCAGGCTCCGAAAGGGTAAGCTTCGAGTCTTGCAGCACCCGCCACCTTTCTTGCAAATGTTCTTCTCGACACTGACAATCAGAATGAATCACAACATCGTTCAAGCATCGCAAAACCCACCGTCTTCCAAGTGGCGCAACCAAATTGCATCCGACGCCAGCAGAGTGGTCGCAAGAATTACAATCATTCTCGTTGTTTGTGACCTTGGCCATCAAAGACTCGCGCCCGTGAGCTCATAGCGCCGGATGACTGAGATCGCCACGAAACCGTAGCGGCACCTATTCAAGGGCTGGAAGCCTGACGTTGATGCTTGGACGGGATGGCGACAGACAACATTAAACCTAGCACAGGACGGGCCTCTTGCATTGCAGTTAGATTGGTAGCAATTCTTCGTCACTGCTCGCCAGTGATTAACGTCACCGTGAACCACATATCTTCCGGTGAGCATGTCCTCCAATCAAACACGACGAGCTGCTGAGCATCTTCATCAACAAGCAAACTCTTGACACCGACCGTGGCAGAGTTATGTCATAACTATGTTGAGCCTGCAAGCCATCGAGTTAAAGAACACTGGAAAGAACCGAAGAAGGCACGCGTCGGTTCAGAACACATGTTTCAGCGCACGGTACAAGCGGAAGCTGAGGGTCTTCCTTTCTGCCGTAACACGACTTTCCGCGAGAGTCGAGATCAAGCGACGGACACACCTGCCAGATCCCCAGTCTTTAGGGAGGCTGAGAGGTCCAGTCGAGAGTCCACGGGATTATTCCCTAAATTCCTTGATGAACCATGAAGCTGTTCTTGCATTTTCCTCTGGATTTGTCCAACCTCGGGCTGATGTACCCGATCATGCTTCACTTTCGCAGCTACTTGTAGTGCAACCAACCTGTACACAACCAGATCTTGTTTTCAAATGGTGCTTCACTATCGTGCCACAGCTGCCGGTGTCCTTCAAGGTCTTTTTGCCGTTGGGGCTGTAAGTGAACTCTCCTGTTCGAGAGACAAGACCAAAAATATCGCGACATCTGACACTCAAAGACTTCCGGCAAAGCAAATGATCCATGCATCTCTTCATCCTCGCGGGGCCCCTTCGAAAGTGACTTTGATCTTCCTTGGCCGGAAGCACGATCTCGGAGAAGCATGTGCAGGACTCGTACAGTGTGAATCACCGAGCCAGAAGGGCACAGAAAGACCCGCAATTTGACAGGAACCCTTCCTGACATAACTCGGCAAGCCGCTTTGCCCTGACGCAATAGAACTTCGTCTTCTTGTCGCCGCCAGCATCAAACTCATTGCAGTTGGTCCATCCTCCCCAATTGTACATCATCACCTTATTCAGGAGTTCTGCACTGGACGGTTCGTCCAATGGATTCAACTCATTCGACGAGCCTCATTCAGCCCAGGCGCATTATGCCTTGACACATAGACTGCAAGCTGCCAGTCTGCAGAGCTTTCATTGGAGACGATCTCCTCGGGAGCTGATACACTCGCAGGCCTACTGTAGGCACCCCCTAAAAAACGATATCGGTATCGGTGGCTATTTCAGTCGCGGAACTTCTTCCGCGTGTTCTTCTGCCTCCACCTCAGCATCGACATCATCTTGAATCAGCTTCGCAGAGCGGATGAGGTGTCCTGTGGCCAAGGACTCTCCGAAGCAGCGCCAAAAGAAGCTCATAGGACGAGGACGAGGCAGAGCGACAAGGGGAGTGCCGGTCCCACCAAAGTGGCAACACTATGTGGCTCTGGGCTTCCTCCTGAACGCAGCAAATGGCTCTCTGCGTCTTGCTATTTACTGCTTATGGTTCAAATCTGCTCCCCGCATCTCAGTCTAGTGTGGTGTGGCGCAGGGTTGCCGCTGAAGTCCCATCATTTTCAGCGATTCCGTGCGGCCGATTGCAAAAGACACCACATGGACCACTGTTTGCAATTGCTCTCGGAAACCCTTGAATCGCAGCAGTACTGGTGGACCAAGGATTTGGGGTAGAGGAGTTGTGCTGCCGCAACGCACCAGTTCTTGGGGGAAGTCAGATTCGCGCTTGTCTGCTGGTCTGGGTCTTCTGGTGGTCTCCCCGCTGGATTCATGCTGATCTGCTGGGGTCTCCTGGTGTCTGCTGTTCTCTGGATGGTATCCTGATGGTCTCTGTTTGGCTTCCTGGTGATTTCCTAGGGCTCTCCTAATGGTCTCTTAGTGGTCTCCTGTGCCGTCTTGGTCTCTTGGTGGTCTCCTGGTTGTCTCCTGAGAATTTTGGTGATGGTCTCGTGGTGGTCTCTTGGCGGTGTCGCTGACATGCATGATCTGGGGCTTTCACAGGCACGTCTTTGTGTGCTTAGCCTGTCAAGCTGCCTCTCGATACTCGCCCTTTTGAACATCTTTCCAGCACGCAGCAGGACCCAGAAGGGCTGCCTGCTGAAGCAGGACCAGCAGAAACGGCAACAGCCGAGGCACACAACATCTTTGTAAGACGTGAGGCACCCGTCCTTTGGCACCTGCTACGTTGGCGGCGCTTGTCATCGTAAAGTCATGGGAAACATTTGTTACCTCGACACCGAGAAGTTGCGCAGCTTGGGAGCGAACTTTGAGTTACTCTCGAAGCTCTTGAACCACCTATCTATTAATTGCTCTGTGCCTCACCGCCAGCATGGACTTGAATTGAATGCTGTGGTTGTGAAGCGCATCTCGCATACAGCGTGTGAACAGCCAGGAGCCTCGGCTGTCAACACTCATAAGCCATAACCTCGAAGCCTCCCGTAGCCCCAAAGTCGCATCCGGCATTCTTCTCAGCCCTCAATGTTAATGCAAGCGCAAGTCGAACAGAACACACACAATCACCCTACCAATGCATACATGGGTCAGCCTGGGCAGGGCCGGCATTATATGAAATATTGATCTGCCAAACAACTCGCACGGAACCAAGAACTTGAGCCAGTTGCAGCTTGCATGATGCACCTTTGGTTGCAAACCTTTTGGCAGAAAGCTCAGGCCGATCAGACAAGCTTCTGCACGTGCTGCTCTGCGGTCTGCTTGGGCTGCTTAGGTCCTCCGATCCTCCCCCGCTTGAAACCCAGGCAATGGCTGCTGATTGCACAGAGAGCCTCCAGGAGGAAGATGTCCAAGAACTGTTGAAAGGTTGGCGCGGCACCCTCGCCAGCTACCGTCCCGACTCAAGGGATCTCGGATCAAAACATGTTTCTGGCAGAATGCTCTAGCGTTCCTGTGCCGCTGAAAAACATTGGGGGAAGCCTGCTGCGCCGAAGCTTTTGAGAAAGGACATGACTCCCAGTTGCCAGACTATACGCAACAGTTGCTTCATTTCCTGTCTGTTATTGGTATGCACAGTCTTTGAAGGAAAAGGCGTCATCTGCATCCCGCAGCCTCCCCTGCGCTCAGCGGTGTCCCGAAGCTGCCATGTCCCCAGCCTGCGCGTAGTGCTGCACTCTGCCTCTGAAGGCATCGGTGGCCTCGAGTTCCAACAAGCCCCCAGGGTCACGGAAGGACTTTCCTGTCTGGGCTTCCAGCGGCCACAGCGTGCATGTAGTGCAGGAATTGACGATCAGGGTGCAACGAGATGACCTGCCCATGACCGGGCTTGAACCGGCGAACCTTCTTGCGTCTATACGACCGGGTCTCTCCGGGAGCCGTACTCCTGCGTTGAGCATGTACGTTCGACCTGTGGTAAGGCAACGAGACGAAACAAGGAAGATGATCCTCAATGATCCTCCCGTGAACTTGAGCTCCCGTCTTCCATCATGCCGAGAAAGATCAAGTTGCTCCTCGGGGAAACGTAGAGGAGTGTGAGGACACTACGCGTAGCCTCTCACGGGAATCTTCTTTTGGGTATGTGTCCTGATGCATCTCATAGCCGGAAGCCACCGACACGGCGCCCAAATCGAAAAGCTCCTCAAGGTGAGGAGACACAAACTCTTGGCTCGAAGCACACGGAGCACGTGGAGCAGGTTGTGCAGGCCAGTCTCATCGCAGCTCTCCAAGACCAGCGTGTCTGCCTCCAGCAACCCGGAACCCGGACTACTCACATTTTGAGAGTACATGCAGAGTTAGGGGCACTGGGCTCCGGGCGTCCAGAATCACCACCTTTAAAGAGAGCGAAAGAGATGCGAAAGCAGCCGTGGCTCGGTTTGTTCGGGGCCCCGGGCCCGGTCAAAGGGCAGTGCCCAGGCAGCGAGCTGGGGAAAGCTGGGCGAGAGCCCTGGACATCGGCGAAAGCTCTCCCTTCGACAGGACAAAGAACCAAGAAAAAATCCCGGGGCCTCTTTCTTGGAACCAGGCTCCGGCACCCCTCGGAACAGGAAATGATCCGACAGAGGCTTGCTGCCGCAGAATCTGCCTGGCTGGTGGCAGCAGCTTCTCAAGTGCCGGTAGGCTCCTCAGTTTGCAACTCAGGATCACTGTCACATCTGTCATCCTTCTTCCTTGTCGGAGACAGGTCTAGTGCCAAGAGCTGGGCTGGTTCATCTCAGCAACGTCGCGCACCTCCAAGCCGTGCATCGCCAACTCCTCTTGAGGAATCTCGAGGCTGCAAGGAAACAACAGCAACATGTCCCTGGAACTGAAATCACCCAAGCGGATGCGCTGCAGGATCCTTCACCACTTCGCCGGAAAGTTCGCCAACGGCCAACACAATGAAAGGTCGCCGGCGAGGAGCCTACGAGTATCAATCATACTAGCTTGAAGGAAGACATGCAGACAGAGTGCTCAGATGTGGACAAGCGCCGCCTTTTTCAAACGGGGATGCCAGCATTCTACACGAAAGTGTTAGGAGGACTCGTGGGATCGCGTGCTCAGTCGATACGATATGCATGCCTGTTAAAGCCAGGCGCGGGTCCCACGTGTCTTCCGACCATTGTTGAAAATGTAATCGGTAGTGCACAATACATCTCAGGCGTCGTACGAGGATCTCCAGCTGCAATGTCCTCCACACATCCTCTCTCATGCGTAGTTTAGAATACAACTTCTGCGCCTCGAGCGGTTCGAGTCCACTCCCAACATCGGTACAAACATGAGTTAACTTTCTTGGGGCTCGTGGACGCCATTGCGAGCCCCCACTACTCGTCAACCCAATCGTCCAAGACCTCCGCACTGCGTACATGGCTTGATATGGCTGGTGCAAGGCGGGGCAGATCCCGGACAATCAGGTGAAGTGCATTTTTCTGAAACGCATCCTGTCTGGCTCGGACTAGCTGCCTGCTGTTGATGCGAAACGTTGAAAGATATCCTTAATCTTGCCCAAGCTGCCTGCTTTTGCCCTAAGCCCTAAGCTTGCAACACCAACTTAGCTTCTTCTAAGGCTCTTGGTAGATCACTTCCTGGGCTCTTCTCGCCTTGATGTTTTGCTCTTCTGCATCGCCACCAGCTAGGCGAGGTGCACCCAACAGTCTGCCGCACAGCTGACCGCTGCAGCTTTGCGGCTGCTGTTGGCGCAAAAACAACGGATGTCTGTTGTGCTCATCGCCGGGGCGGCCGTCGAGGGGGTGGGGCCTCCTCCTCCACATAGAGCTCCGGATCCTCAATCTGTCAGCCAGATCTGAGACCTACGATTTTTGGCTACCCTGCTGTGTCCTCCAAGAAGCAAGAGATCTGGTTCTTTTCCAGATCCTGGGCAACGGTCAAAGTGAATCCCTTCTCGGCGCCCAAGGGGCGCCAGTGCAGTCTGACGGCAACAGACTCGATGAGCATGCCATAGATCTCGTCGCCCTTTCGCATATCCTGCCGAGAGCTGCAAAGCAGCTCGGCTCCATCAGCGGGTTCCGGTGCCGGTGAGCCCCCGCCTTGGCCAAATCCTTGGAGACGCTGAGGCGAGCGTCTTTGGTGCAGCCAATGTTCACGAAGACGCCATACCTAAAGAGGGCGACACGAAAGATGAAAAGAGCCAGAAGCTGCCTTTAAAAACCACGAACTCGCGGGGGCGATCTTAGGTGCTCTCAGGCCCGGCGGCTGGTTCTTGTTGGTGACGATTCCGTCCACGCTGGAACCAACACGGAGCTTCTCGATGGGAATCCCTGCGCGAAGTCAACAGAAGCTGACGGACGAAGTGGGCATGGACTACAGACTCAGTGCTTTAGTGGCTGCACGACGAACTGGATCCACATGCACTGTGCTCTCGCTGCAAATGGAGTATGAGAACCCGCGAGCATAAGTGCTTCTCGCTTCGTCTTTTGCGCGGCCTTCCTCCGCACGCCGCCCTGCAGGCGCTGGCGATGCAGAGCGCGCCTTCGCCGTAGCAGACTTCGCCTTGTCAACTTTCTTGAAGTTTAGGGTTGCTCGGAAAGCAGCGTGGATTCTAAATGCCGGGTGCTTCTTCAACGACGAGCAGACCCTTTCTTGCAAGGCCTTCGGCGTCGCCTTCGCCGTTGCCGCCTTTGGCGTTGCCGCCTTTGGCGTAGCCTTGGGCGCTGCTGCTGATTTGGCCGTGCCCTTGGGCGCTGCTTTCGGCTTTGGTGATTGCGATCTGGCGGCGGCCTGAGACTCTGCCAATGAGGACCGGTCTGAATCGATCTGCTGCACAGTACTCTGCCGGCCTTCGGAGAGGCCCGCGCGGGCTGCGCGGCAGCTTTTGGTGCCCTCCCCTGCTCCTTCCATTTTGATGTGGCAAACGTGGAACTAGGATGGCGAAGGGCACCGAATCGACGCAGGTCGAAAGCTCCTTCATCGGCATGCCGCGCATGGCAGCCTGATCACACTGGAAAAACAGATATGGCATGAGATTGCCATAATTTCTGGCAGTGGCAGTACCTTTCACCAACAGCAGCCCGGACGATGCACATCCGTTTGGGCGCAGTCCCTGCCTTCATCGCCTCGAGCTCCTGAAGATATGCTCCGAAGGATGGCTGGTAAGCCCATTGGGGGGAGAAGGTGGGAGAGGTGGGAGGGTCAGGCAACGGTCGGGGGAGCAAAGCGTTTGTATCGACCGCCCGATCACAACCCTGATAAATGCCTACAGTATGCCCTTTCTCAGAGTCCTTGCGAAGTTGCTCCATTTCCAGGTCTCGCGCATCCACTGCCTTTCGGGGCTTTGGATGCTGAGAGGGGGGGGGGGGGGGGGGGTCAACCTCCAGGTGCCAGGGCCTCAAAGCCTTCTTGTCTCAGGCTGTTGCTCGCAGCAAACATGCCACATGGCTGCCACATATGTGGCTAACATCCGGAACACGCGCGAGCTTTGCTACTGCTAGTTTCAATCGGCATCCGCTGGCTGCCGTCCAAGCTGACCTTGAAGCATCCTTCCCCTCGCATAGCGGTATACTGTCGCGGCGGAACCACCTTTATAGACAATGTAGGCTGCAGTGCCCTCCACACGGTCGCGACTGTGCTCATATGCATCTTAGAGGTCCTGACAAATCCGTGAGGCTTGGTACGGAGATGAGACTTCATAAGTGTTGCACCAACGCTGCTGCACACTGCCCGGCCTTGCCAGCCCCTTTGGCTTTCGCCTTGCAGTGACGGTGTCGGTGCGTTCTCACAAGAGACCATGCATGCTCAAGAGAAAACGAATCTCCGAAACGATGCTACTACACTTTAAACAGATCTTGCTACGCATGGCCTGTGCAGATGTCACCATGAGATGCACTTTCCATGCTCATCTCCTTGCAAGGCGCCCGCCTTGGGCTGGGTCTTGGCCTGCGGCCGTGGCGACTGCGCCCGCTGAGCTGCCGCGGCCTTGGGCTTCGGCTTCGCCTGGCGGGGGACTCTGAGACTTTGGGCGCAGAACTCGCAGAGACTTGGGCACTGAGCCTGGCCTGGGCTTTGGTGGCAGGACGCGGTGCTCGCTCCTGTAGACTACAGAGTCGGTTGTGCACTGCTTCGCCGGCAAGCTGCCGACAGATTTCCCCCCCTTTTTGGCGCCTTTGGCGGAAGGTCTCTAACCACAGCCTGGATCAGGTGAAGATGCCAAGCACAGAAACTTGTATGTGGGGATGTCGGGATGTGTCTGGCAACCCTATTCTGCACTCGATGACTGCCGTCTCAATGGTCTCCCCCTGTCGAGCCTAACCGTAGACAAGGCCATGAAACATAAAACATCCGAAGTTCTGCAATCCCAACTTCAGACACCTCGGCATCCGGAAGACTGGCAGACATGCGCTGCTGTTCGAGGTCCACAGTCTCGATCACGCATTCCTGATGCTCTCACAAGAAGTTAGTCTGATAGGTCAGAGTTCAGGAGCTCACTGGCAACACTAACACGCTGACACAGCTTAGCGCTCTCTCTCTCGCTCTCTCTCTCTCTCTCTCTCTCTCTCTTTCTCTCATGCGCGGCCATGTGTCAGGGACGCCGTCGCCGATGCTAAACCTTCGCCCAATGGCGGCTGGGATGTTGAGGCGGGCATCTCTCACCTCGGCGTCGGAGTAAGGTCGCTCAATTCGACATTGGCGCAGATGGGCTCTAGGATCACCCTCCAGAGTTCACTAGGCTCGCTATATGTCCAGAGCAAGCTTCGGCTTTGCACGATTGCCGAGGTGCTGCGCCCACGTCAACAAAGACACCGTACACGCTGACATTGGTAACTCTGCCTCCACGCTGAAGGGCATCAGCCTACCCTCTGCCGCAAGACATCCAGCCAGCCTTCGAAGACATCGCCAACCGAGATCTCTTCCAGGGCCGTGGCACCTGGAGCGACATGGATGCTCGACCGAAAAACGGCGGCCAGCCATGGGAACAGGCTGGGAAAGGCTTGAACTCAGGATTGCATTGGGCATCGTAGACTCGACCCAGGTCAGGCTCTCCGTGAGGTGTGACTCTGTTGGCTCAGATTGGCAACAGATCAAAAGACCTACGAGTGCAGGTAGCACAAGGCCGCTTCGGCATCGGCCCCTACTCTGGACGCATACCTTCGAGGCTCTCCAGGGCAGCTTGGGGTCTTCCGGAGAGACTGTGAGTTTTACCAATCGCAGTGTGGCAGATGACTTTGGGCCTTACACCATGCAGCTGCCAGAGTCGGTCGGCACGCTGCCAGTCATAAAATCTGCTAGCTGCGTTCGCGAGACGGCCAAGAATAACTTCGTTCAAAGACAGCTTTGTCCTGCTGAACCGTCTTCTCCAACCGTTCGTGCACGCGCTCCTGGTATCCACGGCTCGTGAGCAACGTCAGGAAGGGCGCATACGTGACGACGTCTTTTGATGCGGTTGGGAGCACGACCACTCATGCAAGATTGTCGCCCACTCACAAAGTTGCCTCGCACCGTGAAGAAGCACAGAGATTCCAGGCACTGCCGAGCGCACAGTTGAACTCTACATCGTTAGAAGTATCCGTCAAGTTCGCTTCCCCCTTCTGCGAGGGTTTCGCTCTGTCGAGCGACAAATGCACTTTCAGAAACGTCCGTGTCTTTGAGGCAGCACGAAGCCATGGCATTCAAGAAATGGAACTTTCAACAATCGAAAAGGTTCACCGAGATCTCCAACGTAAGCTTCTCGACTTCACGCAAGGTAGCCACATTTCTGCACCGATGCACCAGTCACCCTGCCATCGACCTCATCACTGTCGCGAGCGAGATTGAGGATCTCCTAGGTATTCAGATGTCTTCGCCTTCGTCACACGACCATACCAACGAGCGCATTTAGGATCGCGTGACACGTCAGCAGTGTCCACGGGAGCAATCAAGAAATGGAGTTGGGATTCTGTATATGACCGGTCTGTGCATAGCATGTTTGCTTTGGGCCTTTTCATCGCGCGGTTGCGCGTGTTGCCTGGTACCTGCTGCGGCCTGGAGTGGCTGCTCCGTGCGGAAGGGACGCGCACCGATGAAGCCGGAAGTTGTCTCGTCCGAACACAGAACAGACACGACGCGGAAACCATCGCCTCAGCTGCCTCACAATGCTGCAGAGCTGAGATGACGATTCTTTGCTACTGTTGGCAGTGCTGCTGCCCTCATCTGGCCGGGTGCAATTGCGCAATCACCTGAATACGCAAGCACGCACAAGCCGTATCGCTGCGGTTCCCGGAACAGATCAGCCGGTAGGTAAGCTCAAGCTCCTCAGATTGGAAGCTTGTCGACCTGGATCTGCAGTCACTCGGCTTGCTCGTCGGCATCTCAGCAAGCGCAGAAGTGTCTTAGAACACGATCGTCAGTTTGCGAGAGCCGGGGTTGAAAGTCGAGTCGAGAGCGTCTTGTTAAGCAGAAGCCCGTAAAGTTCCAGTACTTGTAGCCTAAAGCCAGGACCGGAGAAAGGCCCCGGACCAGGACGAAGCTCCTACCCACGACTTGTTACAGAGGCATCAGTTTGGCTGAGAGCCAGTTGGCTTCAAGCCTACGGCCGAAGGCACGGCGCTGGCAAAGGCGGGAAAGTCCTGCCTCTTGTTGCTGTTACAGGGATTCTGAATGTAGATGCTGAATGCCATGAGTTGGCCCCGTCCCGCCTGAGTGATCCCAAGTTCTGCGGGGCCGGCTTCGCGTCCTGACTCTACCCAAGCTAGCTCTGGATGTCGCGAACGACGGCCGCATCATCAGAGCACGTGTTCCATTCAAGGTGTCGGCGTTCTTCCCTCTCTGTTCCAGAGCTTCTTTGCTTCTTGTTGAAGGCATGCACAGCGTCCGTCCTCGTGGCTGCTTTCGGCGCTGCGCCGCTCTTCGCTTTGGCCGCGGGCTTCCGGGGCCTCTCGGGTAGGGAAGCCAAGGACTCCCCGAAACCGGGTTCTTCTGGCCTGGCCTGGATGGGAGATCCTCGAACTGGGACTCATCTGCTTCCATGACCACCTCTCGTCAGTCGCTCACTACTCACTACTCACTACCATTTCAGGACGCAGTGACTCCGAGTCGCCTTGCCAGCCGCAGCGTCGATGCTCCTGGGCACCGCTCTCTCGCAAGTCGCAGCTGTTAGCATCCCTCAGCCGCAGCCAAGAGGCAAGATCGTCAGGCCATCCACATCCATGCCCCTCTGCAAGCGCCGGCCGACCCTGGGATGAATGCAGGTCCATACAGCCTGAAAGTCTGGACCTGAAATCGCCCAGCTGCTTTGTCGGGACTTTGAGAAGTGCATCCTTCACCGCCCCGAAGTCTACGAAGACGCCGTACCTTGGCCGTCCGGGAAACATCTTCCACAGATTTCTCAGGCAGATGCCACAATCAAGACCTCACCGCAGCCTCATTTCATCCATCAAGCTGCTGGCCCACGTTGGTGACACGCCCTGAATACGTCAACTCGCTGTCGACATCTTCCAGAGCTGTAGCACCGTCATGAGACCAGTCCTGTCAGGACGAACGTGCGGTGAGACTGTGGGCTTCACTTCCCCTCCCCGGCCTTTGGCATGACCTAAAAGCCCTACAAGAGGCGTTTTGGGCCAGCAGTCTCGAGCTCTACATGTCCCGCGGTGCAACGAGGTACGATGGAATCATGCGGCGCAGTGGGGCTGTGCAGACTTCCAAGGAAAGCAGTGTAAAGCCGGTTCCAAACACCTCGGCCTTTCTCGCCGAGAAGGCCAGCGTGCGGATGGCCTGGTGGAATGGGCTGGGGCCTGGGGGCTACACTTCGAAACCTGCGTCTGTGACCTCGGAGTAGAGCAAGGCGCGGCGTTCGGCCTGACCATCTCGGCTGAAGCCGCAAAGACCCAAAGCCCCCCCCCCTCTTCCGGGCCGGAGCCTCTCTGCCTCGGCCTCCCCAGAGCAGGACGACCCAGGCCTGACAAAAACCACGAAAAAAAAGGAAAACACACACAAAAAAAAAAAATCCTTCTCTGCTTGCTTTGGTTTCGGTGTCTCCTCCGTCTGCTGCTCGGCCCTCGGCGTCGGAGCCGGCCTGCCGGGAGCTCCCGGAACCGGCTCTCTGGACACCCGAGGCAAAGCTGTGGCGATTTCCGAGCCTGCCCTGGAGCTGTCGGAAGAGAGCCGAGACGAAGTTCGCCTCATTTTGATGCGGTCTTTGGCAGGGGTTTGCAGGGCAGCACTCAGTGACTAAGAAAACGAAGCATTGAAGAAGCGACCTCGGCAATCAATGAGCCCTGCTCCAAGATGCTCTCCGTCACGGGATACATCCTCCCGGGAAATCACCACGAGACCACGAGCCATGAAAAGACGGCAAAAGGAGCAGGCTCCAGTCCTGTCGCCCGTTGACAACATCGCCTCACCCGTCACCCATAGAGAGAAGCCAAACATACCGGAAACATCCGGAAACAATCCCTGCAGCTCCGGGCTTCGCACATGTTTGGTCCGAAGATGCAACTGTCTTACTCGCCGCTGCAATCGCTCCAGTCGGGGCAGTGCCTCGGAGGCACCACATCGCACAGAGCTCCTACACGCTCCAAATAAGCGCCGCGCTATGTCTCCGGCGATCAGGATGCCTCGACTCCACGCTAAAAAAGGCAAGCGCGAACTCTGCAGCTTGAGTGTTCGCGGCCTGCAGCGAGACGAGCCGCTGGCCCCAAGGAGGCGCGGGAGGAGGGGGGGTGAAACCAGCGGAGTAGCCGCTGGAGCCTGACATCAAATTCGTGGTCCGCTCTGCTCTGCGGGACGCTCGGGGTCTCCGGCGAGCTTTCAGCAGCATCGAGAGCATCATCAAAGCGCTTGTGCCGCATGGAAGACCTCAATGCAGATCTCGCTTCATGGCTGTCTTTTGCACCCCGTCACCTGGATACAGGTGCTCTGGCTGGCCAAAACTACTCCCAGCGTTGCGGAAGATCTCCTGCTTGCTTTGACTGGCAAAAACGTTTAGAAGCAGAGAGCATGAAACCACACCACGGCCTAAGTCTCCCTTCGCTCCTCTGCCCGCCGCAGCAAGTGTTCGACCTCGGGCAAAGCAAACAGACCGAAAGAAGCGAGAGCACGATGGCGGAACAGCGCAACACCCACGGCAGCCGTCTTCCCCGCCTCGAGGAAGGGGCAAGCCGCACCCTGCAACAGGTTGGCGTGTGCTTCACGGCAATGCCGTCGCAAGATGTTCCGGGACAGCAGGGGGGGCGGATGGCGTAAACGCCGTTTTGAATTGGATGACGTGAATTGGATGACGGGCCTGTGGGCGGTATTCGCACAGGAACTGCGCAGTGGCCCATCTCACCTCTCAGAGATGCAAGTGAAAAGAGGCATCCGTGCGTCCGTTCACAAAAGGGCCCAAGCTACGAGCATGCTGTAAGGCCCTGTCAAGGTCGTCCGAAGTGCCGGTCGACCTTTCCCAGGAAACCGAGTTCTTTGGGAGCTCGAAAAGTCGAGCTCCAGAAAAAAAACTACCAAGTACTTCTACTAGGGTTGAAGGCCCGCCACCCTGGCCCCTCAAAAACCCCCCAAGAATGCAGCAGCCGAGGCGAGTGCTGTCGCATCCGGGAGATGTGCTTCAACTCGTCCAGGCTGATCTGAAACCACAGGTTGAGACACAGAACACTGCAGAATTCAATACTCACGGTTGCCAACCCGCGCCGAATCTATGGTTTGTCGGAATAGGAGCCTGGCTAGTGTCCACGCCAGGGATGGTCGGCAGCCTGCGACAACGCTCCGGCAACGGCGCCGAAAAACAGCTCTTCATTCAACGCCCCGATTGCAAAATCTGCAGCATTGCCATTCTTATGAAGATCCGACTGGGTGCGCTTACATACTTCTTTTTCAGGTACGGGACTTCAGAGGGTTCAACAAACGCAGGAGAGCTCGCTCTGGTAAGGCCATGCTGGTCGATGCTTGTCGTATGCGCAAGTCAAGCATGGGCAAGTGGTGCCAAGCTATGATTGGATCATTCATAGTTCCTGATGCCGTTTGCATCACCCGCAATGTGCCCGCACTCAGGTCGGCTCCCTTCGTCAACACAGCTCCCTCTTGTCTCCAACTATCGAACCTGTTTGGGTACCTGGAGCTCCCGAGCCTGGTGAGCTTCAACCGCAGCTCGCGGAGCAGCGCGAAGATCGGCCAGCCGCTGTAGACGAGGTCTCTCAGCCTTATGGCGAAAGCACCACGATCTTTTCCTGCAATTTCGATCAAGGGCCGATCTGGGGCGACCGTTCGGCGGTGCTTTCGCACCGGTGGAAAGCACGAGGGCACGGAGCGGGACAAAAGGGGGATGGGATGTCAATGTGCTTTCGCTGGAAGGCGATCACACTGTCACACTCCGCTTGATGCCCCGTTCCGGTTGTGAACACAGTTGACATCAACACCCACGTAGCGAGATCTCGGAGGCCTGTCCGGCTTGGGCCTGTCATGGCCTCTCGCTTGCTGGTCTGTCTCGTGGTGCAGCAGCGAGCAGATGTTCTTTGCATTGAAGGCTTCGACAGTGAAGTGCTTGGAGCTCGGCTTGTAGCCAGTCGGGTTCCACAAGAAGTATCCCAGCCCCACACCTTAGCTGCAACGTCGTCCTCAGCGCGGCACCGAGCCGACTTTCGTGAAATCGCGAGTAGGGTCACCCTGAGTTCGCGGCCCAACTGTTCCAGCGGATGTGCCGGTGCCTCGGCTGTCAACAGACAGTCTGCTGCATCGAAGGTTGAAACCTGTGCTCTCAATGGAACAGTTCGCGTGCTCGTGATGGAGGTGGGCAACACAAACACGATCACCTAAAGTCGAAGTTTGAACAGACGCACCGACACACGAGTGAGGCTCTCGGCACAAAGCCTTCTGGCTTCCGCCTCCTCTGAGCTTCCATGAATGACTGCACAAATCATGACTTCGAATACGGCCTGCGACAAGGCACTGATGGCAGGAATAGCCGCCCATCCAGACCATATGCTCGCGGCCTCACGAATTGCCCACGTGGGCTCATATAATACTGTACACGAAGCATAGCTTTTAAGCGTCTCGGGCCGCCGACGCGCTGAGCAACAGCAGAATGTGGGCAGAACTGACCAGCACCAAGACCATCAAGACAGGACGGTCCAATCTTATCTTCATGGTCTGTGTTGCTAAGGCAGTTGCAGAAGACCCAGGGGACAGAACTCGATGATGTCGGGACAGGCCTCTCTTGCGTCAGCTCCAGGCATCGCAGCAATGTACACTGTTCGCTGCCTTGCGCAACTTGCCGCGGCAACGCAGATGTCGCAGAGCGTGGCCGAGGAATCGCCGCCAGCCATGCCTCTGACAAATCACCTCCTCTCGCACTCTCCTTAACCTTGGGGTTCCTCCATGCTTTACAGCTCAGGCTCGGCCTAGACGCAGATTGCAGTTGCTGATTCACAATCGCCGCGAAGCTGCGCCAATACCTCAGACAGGCTCTGCAGACCCAATGCAAATTGAAGCAATCCGTCCAACTGCTTGGGCGATACAGGCGATCAAAACAAATCGGTTCATCCTCGCAGGTCGTGCGCAACTTGAGGTTAAGACACCGTGCCACAAGTCTTAGCAGGAGCCAAGGGCCGAGCGTTGTGCCTTCTCCTGCAGTCTCAGCACATCTCAGCGCATCCTACGAGTCGCACAGCTCCAGATTGCCAAGTCACCTCCGTCTCCATGTCGGACGCACTGTGAAACTGGTAAGCTCTTGAGGTATGGCCTCAGAGCACAGCAGGGATTTGCGATGCACGCCTGTAAACTTTCAGTCCGTGGACGCTGCCTGCTTCGACTCAACACTCAGTCCCAGGCAATCGCGCAGCCTGCGCACACACACACACACATTAAGTCTTCATATCCAGCGTTCGACGGCTTCCCAGCATGAGCACACACCGATTGCACGATTTCCACTTTCAAAAGTCAGCCAGGGGAGGCTGAACCAGACAAAAAATCCTATTTCGACCTGATCTGAGTTGATTTAGGGACTCCTTTTGCTACCCTGGATGGCCTCGTCGCCCAGCAAGGCTGCAAGACTTGCTGCACTGAGGGCACCTGCCAGAACTGGTTCCGCTGCCCTTTCCCAGACGAGCTTGTAAGAGGGCGTTGACGAGTCGACGAGTGAGAGCCTATCCGGCCCTGGCCTGGCCTGCCGGCCTGAGATTCGCAGGAGCGGCTCCTGAAAGAGCACGGAGCTCAGGGAGCTCAGGGAGCCCGGGGTCAAGGGCTCATCGGGCTCATGAGGATTCTCTGAATCGCTGACGCTTTGCCTGGGACGAAGAGCAGCGTCGCAGCTGCAAGCATGTGGCGATGTCTGCTCGAAAGGCAGCATCCCAGCCCGTCAGTCAGAGCTGGAGACGACTGGCACTGGCATCGATTCAGTTAGTCGCTGGAGCCACGAGCAACAAAAGCGATGTTAAGGTTCGCTGACTGGCACGTGTGACGATGTGTGACGGTGCACCGAAGTTCTGCGAGCCGAGGTCAAGTGCATCTGACAAAGCCCTGCATGACAGGCATGCTGAGCACAGAACAATGCAGCAAGAAGTGGAACAGAAGCAGGAACCGCGGCATGAATGGTTGATATCCCCGCAGGCAGACCGAACTCCACGAGGGCACGAACCCAGCCTCCAAAAATGATCTGAATGACTTTCTTTTCTTCTCGCTCCTGCTGGTCTCTCTACTGTACCTGTCTCAGTCGTTGTCAAGGCCAGCGATGCTTTGCACAGCTGTTGGCACGGGCATTTAGCACAGGTGGCAGGAGCCGCACTGACGAGGCATCAGCAACACCCAAACCCGCACAACATGGCAAACAGTGGTCCGAGATGGTCGTCAACTGCCGCTGGCTATCGTTAGTCTGCCAGTCACGCAGCTCCGCTTGAAGACTTGCGCGCTCCTTGCCTTGTGGGAGAAGGGGCTAAGTGCCGCACACTCTTCACGATGTTGGAGCACATGACGTGGCAAAGTCCGGTCAATGCCACACACGCTTCTGAAGCGTTCCCAGCGCTGCAAGGCCATCACTAAATCCACCACGCGCCCCGGCGCTTTGCTTGCACCGAGGGACGGGCTTGAAACTCACAGGGTACGGACTGGTGCTGGGATTGCTGTCCAAATGCACAAGGCTATGGTATCCAGCCTTGACAGAGCCGATGTGATCAGATCCATCTACGAGCGTGATTAATTGCATCAATGCTCGACAGAATCCCAAGTCTCAAGGTAGGCTCGTGCAGAGTGACTTCCTCGCACTGTGGGCTGGACGCCCTTCGCCAGTGGCCTTGATAGGTCAGAGGCCTGCTTGGTTCCGATGCTCTCCAAACAGCAAACTGCTTCTGAATACTGTGGCTACCTATATACATATAATATATAAACAAACAGATAAATAGATGTATATAAAAATATACATACATACAGACAGTCTACAGACATGGATGGAGAGTGCCTGGCCCATAGAGCAATATTTGCGCCAATCAGCACAGGCAGTAAAGGCCAACGTTATGCTACGTCGCTGCGCTACCGCGCTTGCGAATTGAACGCAGCCCGCAGCTGTCACAGGGATGGATATCTAGGTCACCATCGCAGGTTTGACACAGTGGACACACTCGAGGCATGTAGCCCGCTGCCAAGGCTGAAGTGGAGTGATCATTGCCTAACCATGTTTACAATACCTACTGCTGCAGCTCCCTCTCTGAGTCCGAACTTAGTATAAGCCTTCAGTCCTGGGAAGCCAAGAAAGACCAAGAAAGCCTCCGATGGGCTCTGGCAGCAAGAGCTCGCGTCTCAAAGGCTCTCAGATGGACCGGCGGCGATTTTGCCAAGTGGCCGGGATGGCGGCCTTGCCCATGGCAGTGAGAGCAGTCAAGGGGAAAAAGGCAGAGAGGCATAAATACTATCATATTCTCTAATATACTCTACTATACTATAATATACTGTAATATATTATACTAGACTATAAACTACTGTAATATTTATAATGTACTATAATATACTATAATATAAAGCTCGGGGGCCCCCTCTTTGCCATCGCCTCGAAGGTCGGAGGCATCGGCACCCTGCGCTCTGACCCGACCACACCACGAGGAGGCAGAGACTTTGATAAACGAAGGCCTTCGCTGTTCGACGCCGGTAACCTGAAGCCTGCAACAGGAGATGTGAACATCAGCTCCACTCCTAGAACCCTTTTCGACCCATTCCGCTGCACTCCAAGACAGCAAAAATAGGTACACAACGGGAAAGCACTGAGCAGCGTGCGCGGTGCAGATTTTGAGCGGGCCCCTTTTCAAAAGTCGGCCGTCTCGATCAAGTCCAGCAATCGCTTATGTGCTTGCGCTTCGTCGGTGCTGCAAGCGCACAGCGTGCCGTCACATGCGACAAATTTGGCCGGCTCACGGCATCTGCTCTCCGGAGACAATGGGAACCTCTTCCATCTTCCATCTTCAGGCTACTGCACCTGCGCGCGGTGCGACGTTATTGTCTCGATCGAGCCGAGGAAAGCCAGGCATTCATTGACAAGCAGCTAAGTAGCTGTCAGGTAGCCTTAAGAATTCAAATTCGCCGCTGATTCTGGGCGTGCGGCCTCAGAATGACCAGCGACGCTGAGTTGCATCGCTTGGCAAAACAGCAGTCTACTGAAACCAACAAGCTGTCCAGCCGTGTACGAATGCAAAATTTGCGAATGGATGAGCGCTGCGGTGAAAACACACGCTACAAGTCACCGCCGCTGTCTGTATCTGACAGATCGCGCCCACAAAGATTTAAAGTTAAAGTTGATGAAATCGTGCTAGACAGTGCGAGACGAGCAGAAGCATTGTGAAGACTCCTTCGGTTTGCTACAAATTCCATGTACACCTTCGAAGAAGCTGTCCCACAAGTCTAGCTGAAAAAGTTCTCTCTGGCCAAAGTGCCTGTGAGGAAACCCGAGGGTTCCAGTTCTGGGAAGGTTTTCTTCCACCAGACTGGCAACTGATTTTTCTGCACCCGTCTTGTTGCTTCAGCAAGAGAAGAATCCGGTAGAGATAGGCTTTGCTAGAGTCTAGAGTCATGGTTGAAAACACGTGCCCGGGACCAGATGCTTAAATGGAAGGTCGACGCCAAGATGTCTGAACAAACCGCTCGGCGACATCGTTGATGTTGCAGAAGTTGCCTGATAGCACAAGAATTCACGTCTTGGCTGGAACTACAACTGGACCGTACGAGACTGCCCCCACTCTACTCTCAGGGCGAGTAGCAGTCAGTCATCCACTGGAAGACGTGCAGGAATTCGGCGAAGTCCAGGTCCAAGCCTGTAAGGAAACTCAGCTGCAACCCTTCACTAAAGTGTCTGAACTCTTTTGCTCATGCTTCGTGTATCTGCGCAAAGCGGGATCGGGGCTGCGATTCACGAGTTGCCTTGCTCACCATCCTCGTCAGCGCGGGGGCATGAACGCGCTGACGCCTTGCAACGGCTTTGCTTTGGCGCTCGTTTTTAAGAACAGCAAATTACGTGCAACATGCGGCTGAACAGCTTGACTGGCCTCTTTCTTGGCCGCAGATGGCTGCAGGAAGGGACCTGCGTGACAGCAGCAATATCCTGTACATCATGCGTTGTTGCTTCCCTGCCCACCTTGAACGCAAAGCTCCCTGATCTTCCGCTGGAGCCTGAGCCACACCGACAGACACCGACAAGGTCCCGCAGCGGTGCAAGAAACCTTGCAGCACGGCCAGGCCACCACGCTAGAAAAAGCCTCTGCACCACCGAGCGACATCTCCTTTTGCGACGTCTTCATCCGCACACCGATGCAGCCGGCCAGATGCACCACCTGCAAGGGAGTAGGTGGGCAGCGGATATGAAAGTCAAAGACTGTCTGGTCTTACATCCTTACCGAGTTCAGGCGCCGCATCGGCACAAGTCAAGGCAGCTAGGAGTATAGCAAGCGATGTTTGTGCCCCCAGCCGGCGCCTCCGAGCACGGCAGCCGTGAGATGCTGCAAAGGTTCAGGACGGCACCGCTGAGTGGGTGGCACACTGCCGGGGCCTCTGCGACCCCCCGCGGAAACTCTCTCCCTCCCCCAGCTCCCACAGGTCCTCCGGGCCGGGCCTCCTGGGCCTCCTTCTGTCGGGCCTCCTGGGCCTCCGGAAGACGCAAAGAGACAGACTTTCAATAAATCGGAGCGGTTTATGAAAGGAGTGCAAATGTCGGAGGCGTCTCAGGGACCGACCTGGCGATTGAAGATGCAGCGGAGGTCTGCAATCTCTTCTGCTGAAAAGCTCACACTCCTGGCCAGGAATCTGACTCACCCCGCCGAACAGATCTTCAACTTGAGCCGGCCTCATGGCAAGCTCTTCCCTCTGGATCTGCTGCTGCTCAATCACGCGCACATGCCTCTGAGGGAGCAGGAGAAGTATATCCAGATAAGCAAGATCTCTTGTGAGACAGTTCGTGGAAGAGGTCCCAAAGGCCATGCTTCTCACGAGACAAAGCCAGTGATCAGAACTTAGTTATCATCTAGGCCTGGCAATACCCTGCACTGCTGTGAAGCTCATGCCAAGACGAAGAAGATGGGCCAAGGCGCGCCCGGACCAGGTGAAGGAACGGGGCAAAGTAAAGCTCTAAGCTACCTAAGCTGACGTGCTGAGCGATGTGCTGCTCTTCCTATACCACCTTCGGGTGAGCGAGACCGTCTTGCCAGCAACACCTGATCTGCTGCAACTTTCCTGGTGCTGCTCTAGTCGCCAAGCTCGCCCACGTCCTTCGGGCTAATGCCAGCCTGACCAGTTCCGGCAAACGATTGGCCGGCCGTGTTAAATCCGAGCAGAGCCGCTGGGCCGTGCTGGGCCGGTTCACGGAGCACGGGGGCAGAGTGGGCAGAGCGAGAAGCTTCTCAAGGGGCTCTCTGGGCTTCTTCCAATGGATTCCAAGTCTTGGCGACAGCGGCCTCCAGAGCCTCTTGCCGGGCACGATCCAGCGCCTGCCAGGCTCTGGAAAGGGCACGGCAAGGAAACGAGAGCGGAACAGCAACAAAACCGGGTTAACCCCTCTGCCTGGTGGAACTCCCGTCGCTCTTCAGCCCGGTGAATTCTCATGCCTCGCGGGAGGAAAAGCACAACTTGGCCGGGATGCGCCAGATGGGCTCGGCTTAGGGCGTCTCTGCTTCTCTTGCCGTCTCTGTCTTCGCGTTTCCCAGTCCCGCAAGCAAACCACCGCGCCAACGCAGGAATGGGCCTGAGTCGAGGAGCATCCATAGCAAGTCGCTGACCTCAGAGAGAACTCGAAAAAAAACAAGCGTGGCCTCAGCAGTCCTTGACAAAAGCGAGAAGGGGATGCTGCTCGCGTCGACTTTCGGAATCTCTGAATCTCTGGTCCCAGCCACCACAACCGGACCAGTCTTCCCGGGCACCGACTCCGGACCCCGGAAAGCTGCCTGGAGTTCTCTGACCTGGCGGCACAATGCTTTCTGAACAGCCCTTTCTGTTGGGAGAGGGAAAAAAAGGGGGATTTCCGTGGGGTCCGATGACGGGCCTGAATCTCGGAGAATCCCGCACGGCGTCGCTTCCAGACCGGGGCCATCTTCCGCACCTGAGAAAAACCCACACCCTCCAAAGGACCCCCCGCCCTTTTTTCAAGACCAAGAGCCTCCTCGGCTATGCAAACCCACCTTGGACTGGCACGGGATCAGTGAAGTCAGGAAGATTCAGAAGCCACAAAAGCAGACGGCATTCGTTCAGGCGGGTGACGCTTCCCAGGTGAGAGGCGAATCGCCTGGCTTCCATCTCTGCCGCCGAAAGACCTCCTGAGAACACGGCTCTGCTTCCAAGGCTCAGGCCCAGCCTTGAACGACATTTCCGCATCCGCCTCGTAACCTCTGCGCCTGCCTTGTAAGCTCCTGCAGAGTCTGCCTTTCTGGATGCACCGCGCAGTCTGCAAGGGCGGCGACAAGATGACCTGCAAACCCGAGCATGAACCCAAGCAAGATGCATATCACCTCCCACCACGCTGCATGACTCACGACTTGCTGCAAAGATACTCTCGCTAAGATCTTTGTCCAAGTTCTTGGAGACGTAGGCCCTGGTGTAGGCCTTCAAGTTCTTCTCCTTGCATCGTGGCAAGATGCTGCGCCGAAGAGACAAGCTCGGCACAAGGAGTCGCAAAGACACGAAGCGACGAAGCTGCAGCCCCACCTTCTGCAATCGCATCAGGCGCAGGAATTCCACTCGGTCCAAGGTTCCACTGAAGTTGAAGTCCACCATGCCTCAAGATGTGCGACAGAGCCAAAGCACGCATCCTCGCGCCACCCTTGCCAAAAACCTCCGGCCAAAATGGGAGAGAAACCAGGCAACCTCCCCCTCCGTCTCCTTCTCTTCTCACGATTTATCTCTCCTCTTCTCGCTCAGCTGTTGTTCTTGAGACGCTTTGAAGTGCACTTCGTGACTCTCTGGACTTGCCCGTCCTTCCCTCACGTCAAATAAATGTGGTCTCGTGTACATGCAACGTTTTTACAAACTGCCGAGCAATGCCCAGCATGTCTCGGCATTCCCAGCTCCATTCCAAAGACAGCACACATAGAAAAGGGAGATAGCCGCAGCCCAATCGAGAGAGGGCGCGAGGGGAGGGAGAGCAGAGCACCTGGCCTTTACAGAAGAGACCACGACGACCCTCACTAGTCCTCATCTGATCTCTCCACCCTCTCTGGCCGGCAGGCGGAGCATGTCCCTGGCTTCCTCGATGTTTCCCTCCAGCCCGAGCCTCGCATTTCATGTGCTCCTGAAGATCCAACTCAGACTCAGCTCAGCAGCTCAGCTCCTAACCATTGCAGGAGCTCCATGACCTGGCTCTCACCAAACACATTGTGCAGATGCAGACGCCCAGCTGCGAAGGGGGGGTCCGACCTTCACAGTGGCCAGCTCGCCGCTGCCGCCGGAAAATCGGAGGAAACTGTGGAGGAGCTCTTCCTGGGCGATGCAGGTGGCTCTTTTTGCGGTTCTTGCGTCCCACTTCACCTAGCTTTATGTGCTCTGCGCAGTCTTACTCTTGCAGGGCGCATTCACAATTGCTATAGAAGCAAGAACCAAAGGTCACAACTCACAAAGTCGCAGTTAAGGGGAATCTACGGTCGAGATCGTGACCACCGATTGCCTTGTGGAAGAATGAAGGAGGGAGAGGAGGGAGAGACTGACAGATGAGCAGAGACTGAGCGAGGCTGAGCAGGTGAGGCGAAGATTTGGAGAGACAGAGCCACAAGGCGAGACCAGACAGGACAGGCAATGAAGGCATGGTATTTCCCCCAGCAGCTGCTTCTACCACGTGCTTCCTGCGCCATATGTCCCCAGCAAGGAGAGGGACAGTGCAAGATTATTAGAGACAAGCAAGGGGCTTCAAGCAAACCGGCTCTCCGTTACTTTCAGTCCCTTCAGGGTGCCGAGTGGTGAGCGAAACAAACTCAAATCCTTGCATCACGACACCCAAGCTTTGGTGAAATTCTCGCAGCAATGGCTCCCGCTCCACTTCCGTGAAGCCGTGGCAGTTGCGCACTTGCCTCAGCCGTTGAGCCGTGATCTCCAAATAACTACATGGGTCTGCTTTTTGCAGATTGCGCAGCCGAGTGTCTGAACGAAGTCCCACGCAGCCTCCACATTCAGGAAGCTGTCTTCACTCACTCCTTCATTCACCCATCGGACTCCCAGACGTGCAAGGTACGTGCAGGCACTTGACACTACTTAAGTAAGTACAAGTTAGTCCTCTGAGCTTGCAGAATTCAGTCATCTCGGAACCAACCAGGGTGAAGCCCAGCGGTTGGCAGAGCGCACGCAGCGCCTCGTTGCCAGGCATCTGACATGACGACGCAGCGCAGGCACATTGTTCCTGCGACGGTGAGCCAGGTCACCTCGACAGAGATGAGACCATCTCGATCAGTGTCAAGGGCATCAAACTCATCCTTAGATCAGCATGCTCAATGATTTCTCCCCAACCTTTGATCTCTGCGTTAGGTGAAACTTTTAAGGCCCCGCATGTACAAGATGGCCCGATTCAGCAGAGCATCTGCAACCGCTCTTAGTTCGCGTTCTCTGATCCGGCGTGCCGTAAAAAGGAACTCAAAGAAGCAGATTCCATTGGAGCTCCTTGGAATCAGCCGGTAGCAAAGCCGACAGGCTGCGAAGACGCTTGCCTCCCGTTCTGCCCAGATTCGAATGCTGGAGGCCTCTGGCCTGCCATGAGTCAGCTTCACTACAGGCTGTGGCTGTGGAGGTCTTGCCGCAAACCTTGAGCTTCTTCTTTACCTTTCGCCACTCCTCAACGAAATAGATCCCACCAAAGGTCCTCAGAAGTCGGGGGCGCACGGAAACTGGAGCGGGAGCCGGTGAACCTTTCCACACCATGCTCATGAACCGCAAACCTTGACATGCGATACATCGCGGTGTATTTGCGGTGAGCTTTCAGCTGCAAATTGCACAAAGATCCTCCAAGCTGGAAGCCAAGTCGCAGCAAAGCCGAGTCCACGGCCGATGACTTGGCCAGGCGGCTCTCTGGACCCGGATTGGGCCTCCAGGGTTTAGGGCTTAGGGTTTAGGGCCCTAAACCCTAAACCGTGGGAGAGAGAGAGAGAGAGTGAACAAGGAAAGGGAGCCACCGGAGCAAGGCCCCTCAAGACGGCGGCCTCTCTTCCTCGCACGCATCGAAAGCGGCGACGATCCCTGCCAGCTCCTTCGGGCGCGAGGGGCGTCTGCAATCTTCGGGGCTTTCTTCGAGAGCTTCCTAAATACTTCTGGACTGACTGGTTCGACCATCCCACATCTCAGAAGGGTCCACTTGCGCGAGCCGCAACGGCGAAACTGTTCTTCGCAAGCGGAAAGAACACAGCTTTCTGGTGGCGCATGTCTGATTCTGTCGTGTCATGCAGGAAGAAGGTTTCGGCTAAGTGCCTAGGCCGACAGGCCCAGTGGCCGCTAGCAGTCTGTGCAGATGGCACATCAGCAACGCAGGCTTTTCTTTGGCACTCTGAGCACTCTACAACTATCGGAATCACGCTGCTCTGGCTCGGAGGCGAGCAGAGGAAGGGCGGGAGTCACGCTTTGGCAGCAAAAACAGTCGAGTAAACTGTGGACGAGTGTAAGGCTTTCAAGGGAACGATGTTGCTAGAGAGGTCAGCAGTATTCGGCAACTTTGCCTGAGTCGTCCAGGCTCTCGCACGGAATAGGAAAATCACTCTACAAAAATATTTATGGCATGAAAAAATCTGCCATCAAGAGAAGCGTGTGGAAGGGCGCAATGGACATGGCCTCTCACCGCACGTCATGGAAGTTGTGCAGTTTGCTGCAGAAGATGTCTCTCTTCGGAACATCCGGGACTTACCTTGGCAGCACATTGCCTCCGGAACGGTCTCTCCCGCTTTTTGAAAGATGTGGTCCCCGAAGATCGATGCTCTACAAGGAGGCCAGAAATCTTTTCGATGCGGGGAGCTTGAGAGAACATAAAGAGATTTGGAAAGGGGCGGCATGAAAGCCAGAAGGTCAGAAATGGACCCCGTATCAAAAGCTCGACCCTTCCTTGAGAAGAAGCCGAGCAAACCTAACCTACACCTGGCCAGAAAGGCTCATGTCGAAATGATAATGGACTGACCTGCCTTTCTCTCCGACTGTCGTGGTAGTGCTTCCGGGCTGGTGGCCCGTGTCCTATCGCCCTCTGCGACAGCGAATGCTACAGAAGTCATCTCCTCCTTGAGCTGGCGACGGGAGCTTACCGTATGCTCAAGCGCAGAAGGATCCCTGAGAAGCTCAAGAACCGCATGCCTCATGTCCTTTGCCAGCTGGAGATGAGCTGTTTTGTTGATTGGCATACCATGTCCATCTTCGACCACATTTCTGTCATAGCTGTCCAACTCATGGCGCCAGGAATCGTAGTGCTGGAACAGCGGCGGTTCGTCACACTCGAAGACGAGACGATCCTGTACCTGCAAGATAACCTTCACCTCATGACTGTTTCTGACCATGGCTGGGTCTCCCCCGTTACCCCGTGTTGGGGTGGAGCCAGTGCAGCCCATCGTTCGACTTCGAAATGCACAGGGCGCACACCGGACGAAAGAAACAAAAGCTTGAGCACAAAGAGGGGGGCGCCGGTGCATGGGTCTCTTCAGGCGTTGAAGCCATAGCTGCAGCTGCTATATCGTGCTCCTCATGATTGAATCCATCACAAGAGTGATGTGCAGCCAGAAACCTCAGCTGCGACATTGCACGACCAGTACCAAGGGAGCTGCCTCAAATTCGAAATCCTAGCTGTCCTAGCTTTCAGACAGCCCGACGAGCCGACGAGCTACCGCAGAATCTCTTGCGAGGTGTCGCAGGGCTGATCCTGAGGGCTTTTCACAGCTCCCCAAGGCGACAAGATCCCGGCATCCACCGGCCTTCAATCCAGCAAGATCGAGGATGTCCTGCACGGTCTTCCTCACGATCTCAAGCGCTGCCGCAAAAGCCCGTTTCAGTTACGATGCTCAGCCCAATTCGCAATGGTGTTCGGATACGTACTGTTGCAGGACCCCAAGGACCCTGTAAAGCAGACATTCTTGCCACCCTTGGACTCCCAGCAAGCCTGCTGCAAACCACTTGCAAGCTGCGCATGAAGCCTTGCACGTGCTCGATGGCTCCGACAAACTTAGCTTGCACAAGCCAGGCGCTGCTCAAGAAAGCAAGTGCCAAAAGGCAAAGCATCTGCTTGCAGGCTCGGGAGCATTGTCGCCTGGATTGGGATCCCAAGTTTGGAGCAAGCGCTGAAACGCTTGACGCTCCACCTTGCAATGCAGGCTCCGCAATTGCTCATTCCGCCTATTCCGTTTACAGGAACGTCTGGATGGCGTCAGAGCCGGAAGCTTCGCCCTCTTCAGCCGAACCGACTGAAGCTTATGAGAACACAGTTGCCTGATCTCCATTAATAGCCAACCACCAACGACAACAACAGCAGAAAGCAAAAAGACATCGCCAGAAGTGGCAGCATCCGCAGTACCAACAGCAGAACCAGCACATACAGCAACCACCAGCCCCAGCCCCACTAGCCCCACCAGCCCCGCCAGCACCGGCACCCGCACCAGCACAGCCACAACAACAACAACCACCACAAATGACAACGTAATCACAACGATCCAGTAACATGACCGCCACCAAAACCAAACACCGCTGCCAAGCAAAGATCATCAAACCGACAAAGGGTGCCAATACAACCAATGCCGCAGAACCGCCGCATCCAAAACGGATCAAATTACCACTGCTGCTCTGCTGCATCTGCTGCTGCTGCTACTCTACTGCCACTGCTGCTGCTGCTGCTGCTGCTGCTGCTGCTGCTGCTGCTGCTGCTGCTGCTACTGCTGCTACTACTAAACTGCTGCTACTCTACTACTACTACTACTACTACTACTACTACTCCTGCTGCTGCTGCTGCTGCTGCTGCTGCTGCTGCTGCTGCTGCTGCGACTACTACTACTGCTACTACTACTACTACTACTACGACGACGACTACTACTACTACTACTGCTACTACTACTACTTCGACTACTACTACTACTACTACTACTACTACTACTACTGCTACTACTACTAGCTACTACTGCTACTACTACTACTACTACTAATACTACTACTGCTACTACTACTAGCTA